TCATCCCCCATAGAAAAATGTTCATTCATAAGCTTACACGCCGACAAAACGAGCCACTACCACGCACGAATACCAATTAGGTGCATAATTGTTTTGGATAGAACAACAATTTTTTGTAGTGTTTTTAAATCCCAACTGACGTTGTTTGTTCGTTAATTACCAAAATAAGACGTACTTTTCTAAAAAGTGTTATTATGTAATTATTTACAAAATTTTGATGCATGTTTACTGACCTTTTAATTAACGTCATTTTTATGTGTTATTCTTCTTGGGTGGTTCTATCATTTTATCAAAATCGCAATTTGCCTGTTTCTTTAGACTTTACACTTATCGGTTTTATGGGTTTAAAGGTAACTTTGGACCTATATGGATGACACATGATAACACTGATTGCAACATTGCAAGATTGGTAGTTTTTTTGATAAGAGTAGACAAGGACATGCATATAGTGTGGTGAAGTTGGGCGATCGTTTTTCGCGTCTGTCGTCTCAGCTGCTCACCGGGGACGCTGCAAACTCTAAGCTAGGCTTACTACTTACGGCCCCAGATTCACACTTGATCATATTTATGCGATGTCCGGATTATCGGTGGCTGACTACCTCTTGGAAGACGCCTGCCGCCTTCTATCGATTTGCGGGGCACACTTTCTTCCTTACATAAATCCCTATTGGAGACTAATTAGTTTTATCGGATCAAACATGGTCACCAGCAGCAACTGGCTGATCAGATTAACAATCGCCTGAGAGTGATAAACGATTATTGAGTTGAATAAACAGTTCCGTAGCGGGAGCGGCGCGTCGCCTCGTAACTTATAAATATCTATCCTGTTTCCTTGCAGGACTTAGTCGTGATATATAGCGGTGTAGCTATAAGGATTATACACCTACTCCTTTCTTCATAAGTTCGCGGGCTCGCGTCTCACTCCCGCGTGCATAACTCGGTATCGTCTGGCGTTACGGATATCTTAATAAGATTCATGAAAGGACGCCATATTTTATATCCTCCCTATCTAACGTAATGCCGCGTGAGCCATGAGCCTCGCGCCACCGTCTCCTTTACTTATAAACTGCAGACCGGCGGCTCGCCGAAATAAGATAAGCCCCACACCACCCCCAACCAACGAAACAACATTTTTCCCCAAACACCACTAAAATTAGCATACATAAGAAAATCACTCATTTAGTAACCCAATTGTTAGTTGCTAACCTAAATCTAGGATATTTCAAAAAAGGTCTCTTAATATTAGTTTTAAGAGTGCAACATTTAAATAACAAGGAAACATCACTATTTAAGACAGTTCTAATACAGTTTTAAGATAGTTGTGCACCTTTTCATTTTTACACCCCTTATTGTATAGGTTTACTATATTGTCCTAAACACCACTAAAATTATCATACATAAGAAAATCACTCATTTAGTAGCCAAATTGTTAGTTGCGAACCTGAATATAGGACATTTCAAAAAATGGGATCTTAATATTACTTTTAAGAGTGACCCATTTAAATAACATGGAAACATCATTATTTAAGACAGTTCTAATACAGTTTTAAGATAGTTGTGCACCTTTTCATTTTTATACGCCTTATTGTATAGGTTTACAATATTGTCCTAAACACCACTAAAATTATCATACATAAGAAAATCACTCATTAAGTAGCCAAATTGTTAGTTGCGAACCTGAATATAGGACATTTCAAAAAATGGGCTCTTAATAGTACTTTTAAGAGTGCCACATTTAAATAACAAGGAAATAGCATTATTTAAGACAGTTCTAATACAGTTTTAAGATAGTTGTGCACCTTTTCATTTTTACACGCCTTATTGTATAGGTTTACTATATTGTCCTAAACACCACTAAAATTATCATACATAAGAAAATCACTCATTTAGTAGCCAAATTGTTAGTTGCGAACCTGAATATAGGACATTTCAAAAAATGGGCTCTTAATATTACTTTTAAGAGTGACCCATTTAAATAACATGGAAACATTATTATATAAGACAGTTCTAATACAGTTTTAAGATAGTTGTGCACCTTTTCATTTTTACACGCCTTATTGTATAGGTTTACTATATTGTCCTAAACACCACTAAAATTATCATGCATAAGAAAATCACTCATTTAGTAACCCAATTGTTAGTTGCAAACCTAAATCTAGGATATTTCAAAAAATGGGCTCTTAATATTAGTTTTAAGAGTGCCACATTTAAATAACATAGAAACATCACTAAGTAAGACAGTTCTAATACAGTTTTAAAGTAGTTTTCATTTTTACACGACTTTATTGTATAGGTTCACTATATTGTATATGGTCACCAGCACCAAAATTGTGTGCAAAAATTCAAATCTAAGAAGTCGATTTTAACCTACTTTCACCCAACTCAAATTTTGCAAAATGTCAGCCGCTCCAAGATCTATTTCTTTACATGGGTTTCAAATGAAAGGGTTTGTCAAGCAGAATACGGGACATAATTCTAAATCCAATATGGCGACCGCCCCAATATGGCGGATTACCTTTTTCTTTGCAACCACCTTGATATGGGTATCAAATGATAGGGTTTGCCGGGTAGAAAACGAAAATTTATGTTTCGTCATACTAAATCCAAGATGGCGGATTACCTATTTCTTCACAACCTCCTTGAAGTATGTCATGCTAAATCCAATCCTATTTCTTTACAACCAGCTTGACATGGGTATCAAATGAAATGGTTTATCAAGCAAAATACGTGACGTCATTCTAAATCCAATATGGCGACCGCCCCAATATGGCTTATTACCTTTTTCTTTGCAACCACCTTGATATGGGTATCAAATGAAAGGTTTTGACGAGTAGAAAACGATAAGATGAGTGACGTCATGCTAAATCCAAGATTGCGGATTTATCTATTTCTTTGCAACCCCCTTGACATGGGTATCAAATGAAAGGGTTTATCAAGCAGAATACGTGACGTCATTCTAAATCCAATATGGCGACCGCCCCAATATGGCTTATTACCTTTTTCTTTGCAACCACCTTGATATGGGTATCAAATGAAAGGTTTTGACGAGTAGAAAACGATAAGATGAGTGACGTCATGCTAAATACAAGATGGCGGATTTATCTATTTCTTCGCAACCCCCTTGACATGGGTATCAAATGAAAGGGTTTGTCAAGCAGAATACGAAATTACATTAATTTTAAGGTTTTTGTAAGGAAAAAATTAATAATGCTTCGTAAGTAATTAAGCAAAAAAGGTAAAACAAGTAGATGAGGGGTAGTAATTTCTCAATTAAATGTGTTGTCGGGGTATAGATATAAGTATCTATCATAATAATTCGTGGCCTAAGTGCATCGTTCGGGATTGGCGTCGAGGCGGGCTGGGCTTGCAAGCCAACAAATATAATTCCGTTAGCGCCGTAAATCTCAACTTTTAAGAGCGCGCTCGTGGAGCGGAGCTGGCGCTGGAGCTGCAAAGAGAGAGAGAGAGAGAGCGGGGCAAAAGGAAAGGGGATTAAAGATCAGTAATCTTATATATATATAAGGATAGATGAATTATGGCGGTATTTCTCGGTGCTGGCAAAAATCCTCGATGCTTTTCCAAGAAATTGCCGTTTAATTGCTAGCAGCAGATTAAGACTGCGAAATTAATTAAGATTCTATGGGGGTATGCATTTTAAGTAAAACTCATACCCACGCATTCAATGTAGTGGGAAAAGTGTATATTTAATGCCCGAGATTATTATAAGTTATTTATAGGTTTCCGTATATGATACATATTAATGCACCTATTTGACGAATCATTATATTCGAGCTGTAATTAATAGTGTTTGATTAATTCACTGTATTGAATTACTTAAAGGCATTAGCAATGTCACTTTTCATGTTGCGTGTAAATTTTATTCCAGGTCATTCGGTTGGCCATTTGGAATTTTAAAAGGAGAACATTCAGCCGTGGGGTGCTATAAATGTTTTTGTTTCTACACACCTCGATTATCACAAGCAGATAAGAAAAATAATACATGACAAAGAAAAAATCTATGGGCATAGAAGTGCAGAAAGTATTTTGTTTCGAAAACTTTCTAACGGCTATAAGATTATAACTATGTTTTATGTCCCTAACTGCATGCCTAATGCATGTATGCACTGGCAATAAAAATAACATTTCACTTTTCTGTACCTCCACTAAAAATACCTATAATAGTTTTTAACACTAAGATGATATTGCGTTTTGCACATTAATTTACTTGATTAAATAAAATGAAATAGAATTTTTACGCATGCGTTTCAATGAGAAGATAATAAAGATATTAGCAGAAAGTAATTATTTTGTCGTTAAAGTAAAATAGAAAGAAATTCGGTTGCAGAGGCGTCTTGCCTGCCCTTTCCATACTCCTAAATTATAACCCCTAATTAAGTTTTGGCATATTACTAATTCCCCGAAACTGTCTTGATTTATTCTAAGATTCTTAAATGTATAAAACAGTGAATCAGTTTCGGAAGATGCTTAATTTTAATTACAAACACTTGTAAATTTTCGAAATATACAGACTTCCATTATTCGATGGCCATAAAATTTATCCTAAACCAATTTTAAGGAAATCCCGGTGAATTATTGTTTCCTTGTTATTATCTTACCCAGTTATGACATAAATTCGAATTTGTGACATGAGACAAAAATATTCTAATACCCTTATCTCTCTTCTAAGCTATTGGATCGGGCCAAGTAATGAAAATTGAATTGCTATTTGGTATTATCCAGATGACTGAGTGACTTCCGCATTAAGAAAAGGTCCCAGCATTAGCTGACCGGTCAATATGGGATTTTACGAATTTAAATTCGCTGATTCTGATATACTGCAAATTGGTTTGAATATAAAAAATCATCTGTTTTACATTTTTATTTGTTTTACTAAAATATTAAAAAAAACACACCATTTTGATACAGAGAAAACACAAACAATACTTTATCAAGTTTATCAAACGTAATCTTATTTACCTAAATGATAAAGCTACAAGGCGAGAAGGTGGAATACTTGCTCGAAAAATGTAATAGAATAAAGTAAAAATGCATTTTTATGCCTATTTAACTGTTTATTGTGTAGTGTCTGTGTGTAAAAGTGACCTTGTACGTCAAAAATGCCCTGTTCAATGTGTTTGCAATGAAGGACTTACTGATTGTTCTGATGGAAATTTAAGTGTTTTGCCTGATGGAATTTATTCGCAGGTAGGTAGTATGTACAAGAAATATTTACCAACAGCAACATTACTTCCAGTAATTAGTAATAGTTGTTTAAAGTTTTTTAAATACCTGTAAGAGTAATAAATATTTGTATGCCAACAAGAGAGTAATAATTGTTAAAATTTATGGTTAGTAAACAAATTTATATCTCCTCAAATTTGCATATGCACTACTAACGGCTTTGCTTGCGTGGTTCTAAGGAAAAATAACGGGTCAAATATTGATGAACCCTTAATTTTACTCACAAGCATTTTTATTTTGATTTAAAAGTTTTTCCACTAAAATAAAAAGTTTTTTTCTATTTCCTATAGATTGGCGACATTTTAGGTTACAAGTGCGATTTGAATTTGATTTAATACTACAATTAATATATTTAGACCTGTATACGTCGTTATTTTGCATTTTACGGCAAAATGGTTAAAGTTACAGGTAAAAAGTTTAAATGATTTTTATAATAAATTGAATTTCCTATAAAAACTGTTCCTTGCAATAATGCAATAAAATGCATAGTTTGAAAGATATAAAGCATTTAATAAATGTTACTGTCAAATATTGATAGACTAATCAGTCCTATGTTGTTTTACAGCACAGCGTTTAAAGGTACAGGAAAAGGGAAAAATACTTTAATAGGAAATTTAATTTCCTACAAAAATAGTTGTATGCATTAATGCAATAAAATGTATAGTTTAGAAGATATATGGCATTTAATAAATTCAACGGTAATGAAGTAATTAGTTTTATCGAAATTTGACAGTTAAATTTATTAAAGGCTCCATATCTTTTTAACTATGTACGAGGTGTGTTCAGAAAATATCGGGAATTTTCGTTTTTTGAAACAAATATTTATTTATTCGTCTACATTAATGTTGTCGCCTTCAAATTAGTCCCCATTGGATATTATGCACATGTGCCAGCTCTTCTTCCAATACTCGAAACACTTCTAAAACTCGATCTTTGGGATAGCCTTTAGTTCTTTCAGCGATGCGCTTTTAATGTCATCTATGCTTGCAAAACGACGGCCCTTTAAGGTTCTCTTTATTTTTGGGAATAGGAAAAAGTCAGACAGAGGCATGTCGGGCGAATATGGAGGCTGGGGCATCATTACAGTATTGTTTTGGCCAAAAATTCTGTTCAAAATTTAACAATTTTAGAACAAATTTTGCTGCCACGCGTTTCATACCCAAAACATTCGAAAAAATTTCATGAGATGAGCCAATCGATATACCAACATCATCAGCGACATCTCTGATGGTTTATAACCATTTCTTCCACTTTTTCCATGTTTTTATCGGTTGTTAATGTGCTTGTGCGTTCAGGGCGTTCGTCATCTTCAACGTCTTCACGGCCATCTTGGAAACTCTTATACCACTTGTAAACTCTTGTTTTACTTATAGCCTTTGTTAACATTTCACAGAATTTATTTAATTTTTTAAGCAAAATTGGATACAAATTCTTTGATCCATTTCTTTTAACGAACGAAAAATCGCCGAGCTCATAAAACACGTCTAACCTTAGCGGCTGCCACAGACAAAGTAAACAATGAAAATAGCTAAAGTTTTTATCATACTTCGGAGGCATGTATACCAACATAATAATTTTATGACAACCGGACCCTCCGAACCCGCGAAATTTAACAATTCCCGTTATTTTCTGAACACACCTCGTATTTTATTGGATTAATGCATAGAATCTTTTTTACAGGAAACTAAATTGTATACTTATTACCTGCAACTTAAACCGTTTTGCTGTAAAAGGTAAAAAATACCATTGTTTTTATTAAAAATATGACTTTTTTCTTGATATGTGAGTCATTTTAAAAATTCTTGTACATTTAAAGAAGAAAAAAGTAAAAACAGAAAAAACCTGTTTTTTCCAAATTTTGAAAACGGATTTTATTATTTTGAACATTTAAAATATTTTTTTATTGAATTTTTTGTTTTATTTATATCACAACTTGTTTGGCTATTTAAAATCCCCGTATAATCGCTAAATAATTATATGTATGTTGTTGAAAACAAAATTCGTTATAAATTAGAATTTTTTTGTCTGATTTTCTGACTCATTCCGCACATATTAAAATACGTGATCGATTATTGTTTCCCAACTTGTATTGGGCATTGTGCTCTGTGCTAACAAACCCTTTGCTCAATAAATAAAGGGAATCACACTCAATGCACAAATCAAATTCGAAACGAACTAAATTACAATTATCATATAAAACAAATGGTTCTTTCATCTTTTCGAAGCAACAAAAATGCTTTCAATTAATTTATTTGTATTAATACGCATGTATACATTTTTTAGGTTGTAAGCCTGGATCTCTCCCGTAACAACTTCACTCAGTTTCCGTCTAATTTCACAGAACTGGATAGTCTGATAAAACTGAACATTTCTCACAACAATCTGCAAACTATTGAGTATGGAGCGTTTCAAAGGCTGAGCAACATTAAAATCCTGGATTTATCGAGCAACAAGTTTAAGGATTGGAAGGATATTAAATCTTCGACTTTCGACTACATAGATCAACTGGATGTGCTGGATTTTTCCAACAATAACCTGGGGAATGTTAGATTTACCAATATTATATCTTTAACAACTTTGAGATTAAATAACTGCAATCTCAGAAGCATCGAGGGAATTTTTCAACCCAAAAATATCCTAAGAGATGTTTACTTAGCTAATAATAACATAAGAAGCATCCCAGCGAACTTGGTAGCAGAAAAACTGGAAATTCTTGACTTGACAAATGCTGGTATATTTAATATTTCTGAGACAGCCTTTGCAGGAATGCCGTATTTAAATGAACTTATTCTAAAGCATAATATTAGACTTAAAAATATACGATTGCAGTCTAATTCTTTAATATCTATAGACGCGTCTGGATGTTCTTTGGAGCACGTCCCAGAAGGTGATTTTAGTAGAATTGAAATTATAAATTTATCTGGAAATAAAATAACTATGCTTAAAAGCAAAACATTCGAAAGATTATATACCACACAGGTATTAACAGCAAATTTTTCCGAAAATTCAATCTCCAAAATCTATGACGGAGCTTTTAATAATGCCCTATTTTTAAACATCGATTTATCATTCAACAGGATTGCTGAAATACCTGAAAATTTGTTTACATCGCAAACTAAACTGGTGAAATTAAATTTATCCCACAATTTTATACAAGTTGTATCATGGACAATAGATAATTTGTTGTACTTGGACATCAGCTACAATGAAATTAAGAATATCGACGTAGGCGATTTCCAGAATATGCCCAAGCTGGAGAGCTTGATTATGAGAAGGAATTTTATATCAATAATCCCCGACAACACCTACTTGCCCAAACTAAAATACCTCGATGTGAGCCTCTGTAAAATAAGAAAGTTGACCAATAAAACCTTCGCAGACATGGACAGTCTTCGCATCCTGGATCTAAGGAGCAACCAGTTGTCCAGTGTTAACCCTTCGTATTTTCCCAAAATTTCAGACGTACAAATATACGGTAACCCCTGGAGGTGCGAGTGTCCAGCCCTAAAAGCAATGTACGAACACAAAATGCGCTACCATGAGGACGTGCGGCTAATATGCGATACACCAGAAAAACTTTCAGGAAAAACCTGGAAAGAAGCGTGTCAGAACGAGTGGTATCCACAGGTTGCAAGGCGGGATAATCTATGGGTCTATTCAGTTGGTATTATCATCACAATGAGTATGATGTTGGGGATCATAGTCACCATCAAAAAAATATCGAAAGCAAAAAGTGAGAGGTTGAGGCAGTTTGAGGAGGAAAGATTGAATGAGGAGAGGGAGTCATTGAGGAGAATGGAGCAAGCTCAAAGAAGAGTATGTAGAAATATTTTAGTTAAAATCCTTACTGATAAACTATTTTAGGCAAGAGAAGAACAAAGCAGAAACGCCCCAGACCCAAGGGCTAGCATCGGCCCACCATCCTACATAGAAGCTCTATCCTTACCAAGACTAGATGCATCGCATCCCAGTTTAAATAGTTTGTACAACATAAGAGAGCAACGCAGTTTTCTAACTGGAAGTAACCCGGAAATATCCAGGAAGAATAAAGTTAGAAGGAAACGAAGGAGAAAATCCGACGCTTTTCAAAGTAGAAGAGCTTCGGCTGCATCCGTGGATACGGATAGCTCGGATGATAAGGCTACAAATAGACTGCAACTTACAATTAACCCTTTGGAGAGTGATTTTTAATGTAATCAGCATGTTTGATATGTGATGTAAGAATTTGAAAACAGTTAGAAGAAGATACCAATTTTACCATGGTGAGAATCAATGATTTTTTCTTTGAGTAGTTTTTCTCGTTCTACATCACATATCCTACACCTACGAAATATGTAGACGTCAAGGATATGCTCAATACGATTGCTATTTTACTATTGCGCATGTCCCTGACGGTCATTTGACAGTCCAAAGGCTCGGTAGGAACAAGCCTTACAGTATACGAGGTTTGTTCAGAAAATAACGGGAATTGTTAAATTTCGCGGCTTCGGAGGGTCCGGTTGTTATAAAATTTTATTTATTATGTTGGTCTACATGCCCCCGAAGTATGATAAAAACTTTAGCTGTTTTCATTGTTTACTTTGTCTGTGGCAGCCGCTAAGGTTAGACGTGTTTTATGAGCTCGGCGATTTTTCTTTCGTTAAAAGAAATGGATCAAAGAATTTGTATCCAATTTTGCTTAAAAAATTAAATTAATTCTGTGAAATGTTAACAAAGGCCTATAGTGAGTCTGCTATAAGTAAAAGAAGAGTTTACAAGTGGTATAAGAGTTTCCAAGATGGCCGTGAAGACGTTGAAGATGACGAACACCCTGAACGCACAAGCACATTAACAACCGATAAAAACATGGAAAAAGTGGAAGAAATGGTTATAAACCACCAGAGAAGTCGCTGCTGATGTTGGTATATCGATTGGCTCATCCCATGAAATTTTTTCGAATGTTTTGGGTATGAAACGCGTGGCAGCAAAATTTGTTCTAAAATTGTTAAATTTTGAACAAAATTTTTGGCCAAAAACAATACTGTAATGATGCCCCAGCCTCCATATTCGCCAGACATGCCTCTGTCTGACTTTTTCCTATTCCCAAAAATAAAGATAACCTTAAAGGGCCGTCGTTTTGCAAGCATAGATGACATTAAAAGCGCATCGCTGAAAGAACTAAAGGCTATCTCAAAGATCGAGTTTTAGAAGTGTTTCGAGTATTGGATGAAGAGCTGGCACATGTGCATAATATCCAATGGGGACTATTTTGAAGGCGACAACATTAATGTAGACGAATAAATAAATATTTGTTTCAAAAACGAAAATTCCCTATATTTTCTGAACACACCTCGTATAGACAGGGTGTTTCATGTTCGTGGTCCATTAAAAGTTTCTAGGAAACGGAAAAAGATATCGATTTGAAATTTTTAAAGCGATTATAATTCAATTAAGTCTATTTTTTTTTAATATTTCCGGTCAAACCGGAAGTGTCATTTTAGTTTTAGTTTAGTAATTTTACTCAGAATTTTATGTAGAGTAAAAAATGTAAAAATATATGGGGTGTTCTTTTTGAAATAATAAAGTTGATGTTACTTCCGGTTAAACCGGAAGTGGCATTTTGTTCAAAATATTTTAGAAAATTTGACTTCTAATGGACTACGAATGTGAAATACCCTGTACACATCGTAAAAGATTTTCTTTTTCTGAAAGTACTTGAACATACCATAAATCAAATTTCTCTTACACCTGAACAGTATTAATTAATGATGTATAGCAATGTTAATGATGTTTATAAACACTTGCCAAATTATGATTTTTTTGTTTTAGGCCAAATGGAATATGATTAAGACAATATACCTACATGCCATCGTAGGTTGTCTGTTAATATGTAATTAGTTTAAGAATGTATATATTGTTTTGTATAATAAAAACTAAACTTGTTATCTGTACGATTAATTTAATGCAGAAGTCTTTGTTGAAATTTCTGGAAATGCCGTTAAACGATATATTTAATGCAGACAAGGTTATCGGGGAAACAATAATCCATTTGACATTACTTTGCACCTAATAAAGTATTTTTATAAGAAGAAAGTGTTTAATGAAATATCGTTATTCTTTTTGCGAAAAAAACCGACAAGTTTCTATTTTACTTGCGATGGTCTATTAAGGCAACGTCCGAAAATAGCAAAACTATTCTATTATAGAAGCATTATGGCTTTGGCCACTTGTAAATGTAGATTCTATAGGCAATAGGAATTGTCAAGTTTAGATTACTGGTTAAACCGTTTATTTTGTTTTTTTTTCCACGCATACCAACTTTGTGGTGGTACACAGCATTGCATAACGCTTTGTAATGCAAAATTATTGATATTTATTAAATAAAATGTCAATTACTAAGGCTAATTGCATTTAATTGTAATATTTCTTAACCTAATCATATGAAAACATTATTAATGGACAATTAGACAGATTTGCAATAATTTTAATTAGCAAGTCAATTTCTCCATTGCGGCCCACACCATAAGACAATTGCCTTATTAATTCGTTTCAAAATCTATAAATAACCGAACATTTCTATTTAGGTGCATTAATAACAATGTTGTTGACAGTGGGTGGAGACATGCAAAAATTTGTCAGCGCGCTCCATCCTGTGAGAAATAAGGATGTGACAAAATATTTTTTAATTATTACAAGGACGTGTTACATGATGCGAATGCGCGTTAATTCGTCTATTGATTGGTAAATCCTTATGAATCATAGCCAATTTTTGCATACTGGTTTTTTTAAGAGAAAGTTATGCTGCAATATTTTGTAATTTATTATGTCAAGATAAGATATAGGGTATGCACTTTCACACAAGACTTTTTGTTGTTTTATTAACGCCAAAATTTTGAATGTAATTGAAAGACATAATTATATTTAATGATTAAATGTTACAGTATTTATTGCAACATCATTTATTATATATTAATTATTTGATTAGAGATTAAACTTGTTTTAGAACAAGACCATTACTTTTAGTTTCTGAAAAGTATATTATTATGTATTTGTCTGGTATTTTTTGTAAGCAAAGTAATTCGCAATTTGCTCTAGAAATTATACAGGGTATACTGAAATAACGTTATTACATTTCGTAAAATAAATTATTATTATTATTATTATATAAATTTACAAAAATGGCGAATGCGCCTTCCAAAGTTTGTTAACGGGTAGTAATCAGTGATATAAAAAAACATTGAAATTTAAATATTTCATTAAAATGTCTATTGATGAAATTAAGTTTTTTAACAAAAAAATTACTGAGGTCACTTGATAGTACAATGAAGAATAATTACCATATTATTTACTAAATATTTGTAGTTTTACTGTTTATAACCGTGACATATTAAGTTTCTTGAAAAAACAAATTGCAACACTTAAAATTTAAAAACAAATAAAAAAACTAACTTTCATTGTTTCACTTTGGTGCCTACAATAATCCAGTATGAAAATCAGGAGTGTCATAATAAATAAATAATTTTTATCATCCTTTAAAGTAACGGGAACTTTCCTAAGAAAATTTATTGTCTCTCGTTTGGTTAATTTAAAAGTAAAACTCAAACATGTTTGGTTACTGTTCAATTAACATTTTCACAAACCCCATTTATTTATCCTGATAGTATCGGGTATACCTGGCGATATCTAAACGGATTTTTTCAAGGTCGCCTCGAAAAACGCCATTAGTTCTTGTGTAATACACAACTCAACAGATGATTCAAGAAATATTAATATTAAATTACCTTCAACACGTGCATCATACTTAAATATTTCGTTACAAAAATTCTATTGGATGAATGCCCATAGTAAATAATTTTAAAAATATTGTTTCATTTTTTAACTGTGCCAAGTATTACAGACAAATATTTTTATTTGAAGGTATTATCAATTGTATGCTATAACCTTCATTTAAATTCCAAAAAATATTTTCTAAAAAGATATTAATCAATTTTGGGAATTTATACAAAAACAAAACACACCTACGTCAGAACGTGATAAACAATTATTTATACCTGGCTTAAGGTGGGCATCAATGATTTTTTAAATTATTATTTTAATAATTTTAAATCTAATGGTGCAAAAAAATATTTTTAATATTTAATTTTTGATCAACTTATGAAATCTAAAAAATTCATTGATGAAATAGCGAAGGTCAATGGACAAACTTGTCTAGTATTACGCGTCGTATGATATTTTCTATGAATAATATTACAGTTTTTAACAGCGTAAGGGAAATATTACATAATTTGAAAGTATCCACTTTGGTAGCGGCTTAACATTCTGTGGGGTTTAAAATTCCTTAAGTATTAGTGTTTTTCTAATAACTTTATCTTGGCCGTAAAAAAAATTTAAACCCTTTTAAGTTAAGCCGGTGACCGATACGTGCGTAATATATTAAAAGTACGATGATTTTCATAATTTTCCCCGAATTCAAGCATTGGGTAATAATCGCTTAAAATATGCATGCATTTCCCATTGTATTCATTTTTTATGTACCTACCGGAAGGTAGGTGGTTGAACATTTAGAATACAAATCGCCTGTTTTTTGTTTTACAATTAAAAACAACAAAGACAAAATCTTGAAGTTCGTCCGTAATAGGTTTGTTTGTTATTGATACTTTTCAAAGAAATAAAGGTCAATATATATGTACGAGGTGTGTTCAGAAAATATCGGGAATTTTCGTTTTTTGAAACAAATATTTATTTATTCGTCCACATTAATGTTGTCGCCTTCAAAATAGTCCCCATTGGATATTATGCACATGTGCCAGCTCTTCTTCCAATACTCGAAACACTTCTAAAACTCGATAGCCTTTAGTTCTTTCAGCGATGCGCTTTTAATGTCATCTATGCTTGCAAAACGACGGCCCTTTAAGGTTCTCTTTATTTTTGGGAATAGGAAAAAGTCAGACAGAGGCATGTCTGGCGAATATGGAGGCTGGGGCATCATTACAGTATTGTTTTTGGCCAAAAATTTTGTTCAAAATTTAACAATTTTAGAACAAATTTTGCTGCCACGCGTTTCATACCCAAAACATTCGAAAAAATTTCATGGGATGAGCCAATCGATATACCAACATCATCAGCGACTTCTCTGATGGTTTATAACCATTTCTTCCACTTTTTCCATGTTTTTATCGGTTGTTAATGTGCTTGTGCGTTCGGGGCGTTCGTCATCTTCAACGTCTTCACGGCCATCTTGGAAACTCTTATACCACTTGTAAACTCTTGTTTTACTTATAGCAGACTCACTATAGGCCTTTGTTAACATTTCACAGAATTTATTTCATTTTTTAAGCAAAATTGGATACAAATTCTTTGATCCATTTCTTTTAACGAACTCGCCGAGCTCATAAAACACGTCTAACCTTAGCGGCTGCCACAGACAAAGTAAACAATGAAAACAGCTAAAGTTTTTATCATACTTCGGGGGCATGTATACCAACATAATAAAGAAAATTTTATGACAACCGGACCCTCCGAACCTGCGAAATTTAACAATTCCTGTTATTTTCTGAACACACCTCGTACTTATGTTAATGTTACAGAACTCTATAAAACAAATATGGAAAATTATTAGTGTAGATGCAATTAAAAGCATCCTGTCGTTATTCTGATTTTTCCTTTTGGAATTAATCGCTTTTAAATTTATAAAAATTACCTACACACCTATGCATCTGTCTTTATTACACATAACTAACAAACATGTGCTTAAAATTGTCTATTTCCTATGAAATTAGGGTGATTTTCAACCATCCAGATAATTGATGGTAAACTTAATTTTATTGCCAGAACAGCTTTTCTATTATTTAGTTTTTACAACACAATTTTTAAGACTTTGTTATTGGACCTAAACGATTTTTTTACAGACTTGGATATAAAAACTAATAAAGTTTAAATTTTAAAACGCTTACAGATAAATATATTTAATTGATTACAAATTTAATTATTTGAACAAACAAAAAGTGGTTAGCCACTAAAATGCCGGCAACAAATTTATGCATCGTTTATCATACATATTTTAATTTTTTGGTTAAAAAATTGTTTATACACAAATGTAAATCATGCCCTAATATTTATATTATGTTGTCTGCACGGATCTACCGGAAATACAAAATTAACAAAATATGCATTTTTATAAAGGGTGTCTATTTAATGTCTATAATGTAAGTAGGAATAAATTAAAATATTACCCAATTTTTCATGTTAATGAAATAAAAAAGTCTCTTTTTTAAATACAATATACAGGCAATTAAAAATTGCACTAGAATCCGGCCTCTACTTATTAATAAACCACTCGTTACTATGGTTTCTCTTGAGATGTCCTAAAATTGTATTCTTGTTAACTTATATCTTCAGTATCCTTTTTAAAATAATAAAAAGATAAAAAATCTAATTAATCTAATTAAAAAATTAGTTCAATTAATATCATATGTAATATTAATTAAAACCAATTATTATAGATAATGAATATTGACAGTGGCCTAGTTAGGCAGGGTAAGTTCATATTTAGATACATATGTATATTAGACTGGGCCAAAAAAATCGACTATTTTTATATTAGTATATCGAAAATATTGTTTGGGGTGACAAAAAAAAATTATGGTGAAAGTTTGAGTCCATAATATTAATATTAAGAGGTCCATCATCGCAATTTTAGATTTTTTTTTCCTGAGCGAGTTTTTGTCTCAGAACTCCCAAATCATTGAGTTTAACAAAATTGACTTGGGAATATTTTTTGAAGAAAATTAAATGCTCTACAAAAAAGGTTTAATTGGAACTTCCCGTCAGATGAACCGTTTTCTTACAATCATGCCTTAAAAATTGGTATAGTTTTACAATTTGATCTTTTAACTTTGGAATTTTGTAATTCATGTAAAAATCAGTACCCTCAAAAAAAACCGATAAATATTCTTATGGGAAATCAAATGCTTTACAAAAAACTCTTTTATCATTTTTGGCTAAATTCACTCCATCAAAAGTTATTCAAGGTTAAATTTGAAGTCAAAACGAAATTTTAACCTTGAATAACTTTTGATTTAGTGAATTTAGCCAAAAATGTTGAGAGGCTTTTTTTGTAAAGCATTTGATTTCTCATAAGAATATTAATCGTTTTTTTATGGGTACTGATTTTTACATGAATTACAAAATTCCAATTTAAAAGATCAAAATGTAAAACTATACCAATTTTTAAGGCATGATTTTAAGAAAACGGTTCATCTGACGGAAAATTTCAACTTAACCTTTTTTGTAGAGCATTTAATTTTCTTAAAAAAATATTTTCGATTTAATTTTGTTAAACTCAACTTGCTGAGGAAAAAAAATTAAAATGATGATAGACCTCTTAATATTAATATTATGGACTCTAACTTTCACAATAATTTTTTTTTGTCACCCCAAACCATATTTTCGATATATGTACTTTTCAAAAAAAAAATAGTTGATTTTTTTGGCCCAGTCTAATTTATATAAAGTATATATTAATATTGTTTTTTAAAATACTGTGAAATTTATATAAAATCTAAAATCATGCGGCTTGCCATGGCAACCGTTTTCTGAAGGATGAAAAAAAAATTGTGGTGAATTCATGGTCAATAATCCGCTCCAAATTAAATTACGATTTTATAGCCATTGCAATAATTAGATGTTTTATTGAGGATTTTAGGGTGAATTAAGTGGAAGGAAAAATAAAAGAATTTTATTTAATGCTTTGATAGAATTCAATTGATAGTTGCGATTCATTTGTATTAAAAAATTGTCGTATAAATTACGCAAACTCCATTATGGCATTTATTTATATTAACCCAATCAAATAATGAGGAAAAACATGTTAAAAGATTGTTTAATAGCCCAATTTATGCACGGGGCAGCTAAACAACATTCACACGGAAAAACGGCCACATGTGCTTATTTTCTCAATTATTATGCATGTAATTTTTTCGACACACTTTCTTCAAAATTATTTATGGAAACAAACCTCTCATATTACCTTTAAAAGGTGAATATTTTCAATAAAATAGCTACCTCTGAAAAGCATTTACTTTACACATCGTTTCCGCAAATGTATACGTACTCTGACCCAATTTCAAGTTCACCGACTTTTTTATCTGTCAAATTATCATGGCACTATTTGATATTGACGAAGTATTTTTGCATTTCTATTGGTTCCAAACTTGTATTATAATTAAAAATAAATAAATATTAGCATAATTTAAACAATATTTTGACATTTAGTCTAATATCCTTTAACCACTGTTTCCATGTGTGCGATTCTGGGTAAAACTTTTGCTGCACTTAAGATCCTTGGCACAAATATAAACTTCATTTTGAGCTACGAATTGCGTAGGTGAGACTTGCAAATAAAAACTATTTCCTTATAAATTTGAAACTTTCAAGGTTGTATAGGTACGTAAATGATGACATAAAACAAATAAATTATATGTGTGTTTTTTGGGCAAACAGATAATATAAAGTTTTAAGAATTCTATCAAGTAAAAAACCCAATATTTCGTAGAAATATTTCAATTTTTTCGATACGATTTACGAATGATGTATATGTAAAAATAAAAAATTAAGAACACACTTTTTTAATTAAGAAACATATTAATTCGTAATTCTTGACACATCTGTTATAGCAGCGTTTTTCAAAAATTGTTTTGGAAATGTAGGAAAAAAAATTAATAACAAACTTGTATGCGTAGATTCTAAATATTCAATAAAAAAATTGAAGGATGTATAGATATCTACGTCACCTAACTGTGACCATTACAATAATTAAACACTGTTATTAACATTATGTATTAACATTAATTATTTCTAATCTAGTAATGACTTTTTTTTTGAAAATTAAATTATAGTAATCGATATTATTGCTTACGTCAGTTGGGAAAATCAAATATTTGAGGTTAACATCGTATATCAATAATAACAATATTTAAAGAATTCAATCAACATTTTTAATTAAATGTGATTAATTTCCTTTACGGTGCCTAATTATAGATATAAGCATTTTGTACTGGGAATTAATTTGAAAAATAGTATATGACATAATTGGGGTCTTCTATAACGACCTTGAGAATGTACCCACCATTATATAAATAGAAAATAATTATACTACGAGGAGGAAAGTTAATTTGTCGCAGAGGTCTGCATAAAGTGAAATTTTAAAACCAATATTTCACAACCACAATCTCTTTGTGGTTTAATGAATTTAAGTTTGTAGTTTTTTATATATATATTTTTTTTTCAATTAAAAATAAAAATAAATACGTGATTAATTATAATTTAGATAATACACAACCAATTATTTTAAAAATATTGTACTACGATGTCAAACTCCTAACCCCATAATTAAAAAACAATTATTTTTAATACTAATGACTTACTTACCTACTTTATACTACGTACAAGCTAAGTTGCGCAACAACACTAAATAAAAAAAAAATTTGGAGGTACCAGGTATCGATCCCGGTACCGGTACCTCTTTCCAGTTAGAAAAAATAAAATATCATTGAGGTACTCCAAGAAAAATGTATATTTTCCGTTCAGTATCCCTCCACTTACCTTTTAGACATCGTTTTTATCTCAACGTGGTATTAAATTTCTAGTAGTTAAAAATAAAATAGATTAAAAATAAAATGAGGCATTCACAGCCTAAGTGCATAAGGGCCTCTAAAAAAAGATTTGTCTCGAGTCGTGAAATCAAAGAAGAAATAAAAGCTATAAATAATTTTATTATAAAGAAAACGTACATAAATATGATAACTTTGTTCAACACATTTACCCTGTCTTTTTAGCTTTTTTTTAAATACAAAAACAGTCTATCAATCGATTTAAATTAAATGAACAGTGATACTTTGGTTTGAACTGTTTTCACTCGAAAATTTTGGAAAGAAAATTATCACAAGCCTCGCAGAATCAGTCACGTAAAATTTGGGATCAATTTCAATGTACAGTCAACAACATAACGCACACACTAATTAATAGGAACGACCACAAAGTAAGTCGATTTATCACAATTGGTATTCTGTAATAAATACTGAGGTAACACTAATTATTGTCAACGGGGGTTAAGACGATCTCCCCCTCGCTGTTTTTCTCTCGATGAACTAGAAGAGGAGTTTTCGGGATGGAGTCTGGAATTTCGGTTTCCTTGATTGTGACCCTTTCGCGTTTTGGAGTGAGCAAGTCTTGGTTCACTTGTGGAGGTCTCAACTCTACGTCACTAAAATCTTCGGCATCTTTTTCATTGACATTCCCATTCTGGCCGTTCATAAGAGGTATATGTTCAGATTTAGCCGGCTTCTCGTTGATTGGTTGAATGGCAGGTTTGCCCATCAAATTCATTTCCTCCCCGAAATCCTCCCCGGCCTTTTGTTTTTTCTGCTTGCCATTCCCATGCCTTTTGATGAAGAATACCAACAAACAAACTAAAGCCAAAGCAATGACGCCTATTATAACATAGACAGTATCGCTATTAGCCTGTGATGTTTCAATCGAAGATCTGCCCAACTTTGTGTTTTCATGCAACGTCAAGTTAACTTTGTCGCTTGATTTCTCCAGTTTTTCCTCAACCTCCTTAACAACATTAACCTCCGTCACGATTGGCTTCTCAGTTGTTGTGGTTGTGGTTGTGGTTGTCGTTGTAGTCACTTTATCTTCATAGAAAATGTTGAAATCGTTGCTCAAAATGTTGATTTGGTCCTTCAGCCCCGGCAATGGAGATGCATCTTCCTCATCTTTAGCACCAACCGGTTCAGGTTGCTCGCAGTTTTCGGTGCATGCTTTTGGCAGGTCCACTGATGCCGGTATCAAAACACCTGCCCCGCTGCCCTCACTGTCCGTTTCATTTGCGTCGTAATCAGTTGCCAAGACGTGCGGGATTAACTCCTCATTCGACGAACCGCTTCCCTCCTGTTCATCGATGACTTCCGGGGCAGTGGTTTCTTGAGGTTTCGCACTGGTGGTTTCTTCGTACGGTAAAAACACGTTTTCCTCATGCGGCTCTTCGTTTTCCATTAAAGGAACCTCAGGGAGCGGACTCTCGCCTTCTGTGTCGCCGGAACCTTCATCGCCCATCATTAAATCCAAAGGGGAGCAGTCCGTGGTTTCAATAGTTTTCCCGGAATCGCAGGTGATTTCCCCAAATTCTATGTTATGCTTTTGCATTTCCTTATAGATAAAAATATTATCGCAATCGCAGTGTATTGGGTTATTAGTCAGACGAATAATTTTAATACGGTTGAAATGACTCCAGTCTTTTGGAATGTACGATAAATAATTATCTGTTAGATTCAGCTCCTCTAAATTTTGCGGCAGAAGCGATAACTTGACGCCCTTTAGATTGTTGCCACTTAAATCAAGGCTCTTTAATTTAGGCATGTTGGGCAAACTACTCAACATCGCGTTGGTATGCGATAAATCCAAGCTGTTTAGATTCTTCAAGTACTTCAACTTCGGACTTATAGTTCCCGATGTACCGGTTATTTTTAGTTTCGCGATGCTAGCGTACTGTTTGGGTAGCAGTTTGTTTAGGAAGTCGAAATTTTCGCATGATGCCTCCAAGTTTTCGGTGTTATACTGGCAGTGGCAGTGGTCTGGACAAGGGATGAGGGAGGCTCCCAACACGAGATGTATGACAGCCACACGGTATGCGAGTTTCACCCACATTATACTCCTGGAAAAAATGTACAGTTCAGTCTAATGTATTTTAATAGAGTTGTTAATGTATAAATGTTAAAATTTATCATTAGTTGACAGGGTCACAAATGATATTTCAATAATTCATGTCGACATAATTTACATAGAATGAATGTGTTGTTGCCTTAATAAATGCAGTTTAATAGATAATTTGGTGAGACATCCGCAAATTTGAGCCTCAAGACTTGATAAGAAATGCGATAATGTGAAACGAAATCTATATTTATCGAGCAACTAAGATAAAGATACTTAAAAATGGGTAGGGCCAAACGAAATTACACAAAAATATATCTAATAGTTGTAATAACATTGACATAATTTTAGATAAAATTTATGCCAAACTGGTTTGTACATTTATTGAATATGTTTTTAAATTGGCTACAGATAATCTCAAGATTTTACGACAAAATTTAATTAAATATATAAACGATGACCTTTGCGTGCGTATAAATTTCGACTTAATAGACATAATTTTTATGCCGGTTCGTATGAATTTGGCGAGACGCTTTCTTTCTTTTACTTTATTGGTCAAAAGCAGTCGTACGATTCGCGTACCCGAAACTGAAATGTAGGTAACGGTAACAATTGCAGATTTTATCGCAAAATAATTTCGAAAAACTGGTTTATCGCGCACTCATTCAAAACAACACCTTTATACATTTTTAATAAATTGATAATAATGAACACATTATTAAACACGGGTCAAGAGGTTAAAGTCATTTCCATGTTAATAATATTAATTTTTCATTCATAAAGAACAGAATATTTATTAACTTACTTTAAATGCAGAGCCAAGAACAAATTTTTTTTTAACACAAATTGCACTTAATACCCCGCAAATGAATTTGTATTCTGGCGCGCGCAACACAACCGCTACTGCACGATATGCTTGTCCGAAGTTTAAGCACTAATGTATAGATTCAAAAATGCGTTACGCAACATTATAAGCCTTCATTGGCTGCGCCGGTAGTGGTGGTAATGCAAGTGTGCGCGCGATGCAATTTTCATTGTTTTAAAAAGTCTCATCCAAATTTCGAAAAATTAACGACATGATCTATCGCAACTTCAATCTTATTGTGCATGCGTTTTTAAGATGTATGTATTTGCAATTTTTTTAAATTAAAGTTTGCGAATATTAAACATATTTTATTTACTATTTAGTTTATATAAATTTTTAATATTTGCAAAAATGGCGAATGCACCTCTAAAAATATTTCTTTTTCTTCATCTATTTCATTTAAAAATGCGGTTACCTAGTATTAAAAAAACCTATTTTTTACGAAGAATTTGGTTTCAAAATTAGTTTAAAATAAATAAAGTAAACAACAGGTTTTTAGTCACGGGTGCTTTTCTTGTTACAAAAGTATTAAATAGTTCCTTGACGTCAATATTTGAAAAGATTCTCTTTTACTGTGAAAAACGGCTTCTATATCAATTGTTAATCTATTTTTAAGGGATACATTTTGATTTACACACAAAAATTGGAACGGCAATTTCAATAAATACAACTGTCACTTTTTGTACCTTTAACATTTCCCGTGTAAGATTTTTTAATACTTTGTGATCATATTTTGCAAATCAAGGGACAAAATATTTTCTTAAAATATTTATATTTTAAAGTTATTTTAATATTTTTTTCTACTCCCACCTTTAAAACGCCCTTTATCGTACATGTTTTCATGACACTAAGTGACCTTTTAAATACACATTGACAAGTTGTGGCTTTATGGCGCTTTAGTCACGGGCTGAAGTTAGTTTTAAGTTAGTTGACAGTTGTCAAATGTCATACAATCGTTAAAATAAAGTGCCTTTCTTGTAAAATAATACTAAATGTGAAAATTATTTTATTATCTCAATACAAAAATACAAAAGTATTAAATAGTTTCTCAACGCCAATATATAAAGTTTATATGAACATTGTCCTGACCTTTTAATTTCGCCGGCAGTAAACTATAACTTAAATTCGGGCACGGACTCCAATGTAAAGTGCTCATAAAACATTTTCTTTACTTTCACTCTGAAAAACTGTCAATTTTCAAGAAATACATTTCGATATATAACCTTTATAATCTGTGTTTATAAAATATAAAAATTTGACATTTGACGGTGACACACAGATTACCCTATTGTTTCATAGATGGCGCTCTATACAAATTTTTGATTTAAATCATTTTAAGAAAATAATAAGTATTTGTTGTAGAAAAAGTATAGTATGCACCTTGTTTATAAATTTTTCTATACACTCATTAATTTAAGCACTCGCTCGCAAGCTCGCTCGTGCCTAAATTAAATTCGTGTATAAAATGGCCTTTATCAAACTTGATACATAATAAACTATAAAGTATCAATAATTCTTAAGTATAAGTAAAATAATGACAGGCAATGTTAATGGTGAACATTACGTCAAAAATGTTTATTGGGATGGTTACTTTATTTTCGTATATATGTCTATAAAATAGCTTTTATTAAACTTAATACATATTTGAAGCATAATTAATAATTATACATAATACAAAAATACAAAATTTTCCTAAAATTGATGAATGTCTCAGGCAAAAAAATTGTTTACTTTAAATCCCAACTAATCTATTTATAATGAAAAGAGATCTAATGACATTAAATCGATGTTTCATCACAATTTAATTACACTTGCAAAAATGGCGAATGCTCCGGGTTATTATTAACTGCTTTAATTTTAATGGAACAACGTATATTTATTTTGAAAAAACAATAAAATAAGTTTTATTTAAAAAAAATTCTAATTATTCTAACGTGCTAGTCGAGCATTGCAAGGTTTGTTTTTATCTATTTAGTTTATTAAATTATAATTCAATCTACTAACTTAAAAAATACCAAAGGTTGGTTTTAATGTTTATAACAATTAAACCGTAAGTCCAAAGTAGAGTTTAATAAAACTATTAGTCACTTAGTACTTGAAGTATGGTTGATATGAAATTTATCAGAGATAAAATTTGACATCATATTGCTTAAAATAATGTTTCACTTATCGATACTATTAGGAAACTGATAACAATTTTTAAAACGATAATTATAGATGGCGCCATCAAACAGTGATATAATTTTACAAAACATAAAGATATAACGTAGATAAGTATATATACAGGGTGCACCAAGAATATTTCTATGTATCTGTATTTTTTTTATTAAAAGGTCACTACAATTCTATTTACAAATTGAGAAAAAATTAAATAATTAAAAAAACTGAAAATCTGTTATTACTGGGAATTTCACATGCACATCTAAATTTTATTTTATCAGGCTAAATAAAAAAATACCCACCCTGTATATGGTGTACAATGAGTTAAATGTTTATCCAAAAGATGGCGTGGCAATATTTTTAAGTAATTTAATATTTGTTAATCATAAATGAATAATAAAACTTGTTGTGAAGATAAAATTGTGTTCCAAGAAAATCTTACAAAAAGTTTTATCGAAATTTTCGGAATAATAAAATATTATGGTCATTTTTTGTAAGCAGATGGTCAGGGATTTCCAAAAATTAATTATAATTTTAAATTGTCAAGGAAAATTTTGCGAAATTATATATAAAATGTCTGGTAATGATATGAAGAAATGCTGAAAATTAAAATATTTTTAATTTAAAAGGAAATGAATAATCGAAACAATATAACACAATAGCATGGTATGGTACCACTTTTGCGTTGGGTACCATCTGTTGTCAGTATTGGTAACTACCATACAGCGTTGTCAAATCCATAATGGTAGTACTAAAGGAATTTGTGATAAAATATTTATATTGCGATAAAAAACAATACAAATTTTGCCGACTTACTTATCATATACCTAAGTATAAAGATATAAAAAAATTAGTTGGTACCTACATGATCTCTTTATCTCAGATCTTGATGTATTTACATTTTTATCTGTAAATAATTCTTAATTTAAAAACAAAGCCCCAGACAAGTACATACAACTGGAATTAATTTTGACATTCTACAATAAATTAAACAATAAAAATAATCTATACAGTGAGGCTGATAATAAGCGACAATCTGGCAACGTAGATCGACTCGACTCAGGTAGGTGCACACAGCTATTGCTTACTTTAAGTAGTATTAACAGGTTGCAGTTGTATTTAACAAAGGTTTTCGTCGATAATATAGTGCTTTTTAAATATTAGGTGAGTTTGTTGAGTTTATTAAAAAGTTTGTGAAAATAGCCTTTTTGCGTTGTTGTTGTTAATTTAATTAAATGATAGGGAAGGTAATAATAATGATAACATAAATACTTTACTGGTGTAGGTACCTTTATATATAATGGCTGTATTTACATTTTTACTTCTTATTATTTGTTGTTCGATTTTTTTTTTGTTATATGTGTGAAATAAGGTTTAGTGTTGATTAATTGATATTTATTTCCATATTTCTTGTACTGTTTAATGTCAAAGCTAATAAAGGTGGTATCGTCAACCAAAATTTATTAGGTGACCTTCAATTTATAGTAATAGTTGAATTAATAATTATTTATTTATTCGTCAATATCGATACTCTACGTGATGCTTAAAGTAGTTGTAACAACAACAAATTCCTTGCATTTTATGCCTATTTATAAATACGGTTTTACCCTTTTTGGTCATTGAACTAAAAATACATTTACCTTTTTATTTAAATTTTATTATCGTAAACGCTCACCACTAAAGTGATTTATTATCGCTTAAGCGATAATAAATCACTTTAGTGGTTTTGACCAATCAAAAAATTCGATAAATGTCAAATTTACCTAACCTCACTATATACTTTTAATAATTATCATTATTATGTATCATTCGACAAATAGAATTGTGCAATTCAACTATTTTACTAACAACAAAGAATGTGATAATGGGTTAAATATATTTACATGGCAACCCATTATAGTATAAATAATTTCATCATTTTTATTGCACCTATCAAAATGACACATTAATTATTGCTATTTTCTTCGGCAGACCTCAATGAAATGATGTTCTTCACGATTTTGGCCGCATTGGTGGTTGCGTCGGCCTCTTCACCCCCGATCACAGCCCCCACCCCAAAATCCGTTGACATGTGCGAGTTCAAATCGCCAGCGAATGGTAAATTGATTATAACATCCTGCAAGGGGTCCTTGAATTTGACCAAGGATTTCTTCAACAGTGTCTCGAAGAAGTTGATTAACGTTATATCCATTGAGACCGAATACATCGACTCGATTGAGGCGGATGTTTTTGGCCAATTTGCAAACCTGAACGATGTTGTCATAAAAAACGCGCACATTGGTAGGGTGGATGCCAATGCGTTTGGTGAAAACGTTAAAAACGTCAATTTTATGGGTTGTGCTTTTGAGGATTCTCCGAATTTGTTCTCCAAGAATTTGGAAGAATTGAACATCAAGAACTCCAAGTTGGACGAGATTCCGGTTTTGAACCTGCCGAATTTGCTTTTCTTGAACTTGACGGAAAACAACATCAAGAAAGTGAATGTTGAAGCCTTCGCGAGATTGCAGGGCATCGAGCAAATTGACTTGTCTTTCAATAAAATCGAGGAACTTCCTGCAGATATCTTCATCAACAACCAAGAACTCGAAATTGTGTACCTCGATAACAATCCACTCCGCCATTTCAGCCTGAACACATCCAACAACATTGAATTTTTATCGGCTAGAGCATGCCAGCTAACTAAATTCGATCAAAGTTCCACGAAGTTCTTGGACGGGTTATCCGAACTTTACCTGAACGACAACCAGATCGACGCGATTCGTGGCATCGACTTGGCCCATATGCCCGAGTTGTTAATAATTGATTTATCCAACAACAAAATCGACAGATTGTTGCCCGATGTGTTCGAAAATAACACAAAACTCCAAAAAATCACCCTGGATGGCAACAAGCTTAAATACCTACCAATATTCGTGTCAGCTTACGACAAAACATTCGATACTTACAAATTCTCCTGCAAAAATTGTGGATTAGTCAAAACCATTGCCTATCAAACTTTCGAAAGACTGACCGGTTTAAAGGAACTAATTTTGTCTGGAAACGAGTTGACTAGCGTCGCGGAAAGTTTCACCAAACTCCCGAGCTTAAGAATCCTGGATTTGTCCAACAATAAACTCAGAAACATCGAAAGAACTGCATTCGCCAAAAATATGCGCCTGGATACGTTGATTTTATCTGGAAATGAATTCTCCGTCCTCAACGCCAATGCCTTTGAATCCAACAAAAAACTGATTGTTTTGGATGTTGGTCATAACGGAATGAGGCAGTTGTGGATGAATAACAAGACAGTATTGCCATCCTTGCAAAAATTGATCGCCGATAACAACAAGATCACCACTATCACTGTTGATCAATTGAAGGTGACACCGAAATTGAAGATTTTCGATATCGAAGGAAATGCCATCGATTGCAACAACAAAATGGTTGAGTCTTTGTGGTGGTTGATAAAACACAACGTATACCCAGCTGAAGAAGACACGCATTTGGGCTTCTCTTTGAGTATCACTGGCAATTTGCCCGAGGAGATATCCTGGGGAAATTTGATTTATCAAAGATGTCAAAATCCTGAGGACTTCTACGATTCGTTGGACAAATTCCAAGACAAAGAAGTGATCAGCAACGACCTTTTGTTGGAAAGCGAAAGCCATGACGATGAAGACTTCGAAATTGACAACCCGACGATGAAGAGCGACATCGTCGACAACGACGATGATGACGATGACGATTACGAAGAATACGAGGACGATTCCACGTTCAAACCGAAATTCCAAAGCGTAGAAGAGCTCCAGGAGATTCACTACGCCTACGTCATTTCCTTATCGATGATTTTCCTAATGACGGCCGTTTTGGTGTTCATGATCGCTGCCGTGACCTTCACATTGCTGATTTTGAAGAAAAACGGCTCTTTGAATGCGGTTCGCAGGGCCAATATCCCGCACTTCAAAATTCCGACGTGGAGCACCAACGCAGGTCTAAAGAAGCACAGCGGTTCCGTATACAGGCCTTTATCCGAGGACCTATCGGACACTCCGCATCCCAAAAGGTACGAGTTTGCCTCAAGCCCTACCGTACATTCCGATAACCACGTATAATAGGTTATGTTACTTACTACTAATAAGTTATTAATTAACTGATTAATTTTTTAATTGTAAAAACCCTGTGTTAAGAAATGTGTATTATTTATTATTGCGCTTATAGTTTTAATATTCGTCCATTAATAATTCGTTGATTTGCCATAGAAGCGGTTTTTAATTTCTTTTAAATTTATTGTATTTATTGACGGACAATAAAAGTTTTAATCCTTAGTGTTAATCCTTATTTGCAAAACCTTTCCAATATAAGCCAGGTAAGAAATTTCTAGAAAATAATCATAGAATAAATAGGTAAACATTGGGTACCTACGAACTGATAAATAAAGGTAAATATTTACTAAAGTTTTATTATTTATTTATCCCTTCATTAAAATTTATATATTTTGTTGTAACAATTTTACGTAATAATCAACGGTAGATTGCTTTGTTAACAAATTTTTTAATTAGTTATTAAAATGGGGAAACACTAACCCAATTATAATAAGAGAGTTTCTATGTTAATAATAAGTATATTATTGTAATTATAAAAACAATCCTATCTGTACCTACGTGTTTTATCAAAATAATAATGTCAAGTACTTTTCCTAAAAACATTAAATATCCATAATAAATAATTAAAATCACTCAATAAATTATTATGGGACTGCAAAATAACAAACAAATATTCTTAGTATTACGTACGTAGGTATTATCTAAAAAATTGTAATACAAAATAGAATATTTAAATTCTTAAAATGTGTTATTGTATTATTTTAAAAAGTAAAGTGCTTTTCAACGCATAAATTACCTTTAAAACAACACAATGTATAATAATAAACAAGATAAAAATATATGTAACTTTGCATTAAGATAGCAGGGAAAATTGCATTAATTCAAATATGATATTAATAATATTTGAGTTGAGCAATTTTTTGTTACTTCAAAAATAAAATGAAACACCTAAATAGCAAACATTATCGTAAAATAAGATTTTTATTTTTAAGTAGCGACATCTATTATCAAATATTCCAACAATAAACCTGCTACTTAAAAATGTAAATACCTCGCTCTCAACAAGTTCTTTTTATTAGTTGTTTTTGATAAACAGATACAAGTGCCGCATTAACGTATTAATTTAGTAATCTTTAAATTAACTGTAATAATAACATTGCGTCGTGTGGTTGCAAATTGTATTATCTTCGTTATTAGCTAACAATACAGGCCAAAGATAAGACCTGTTATTAATATTAAAAATACGACCTTTGATTATTAAATCTTTCATTTCAACAACAACGCAGTGTCTTTTAGTAACGCAGTGAGTCGATAAGTGCTTCAATATGGTCGCAAGAAAAAGGGTTTTGGATTTGCTGCAAGTCATCACAAACAACTCGTAAGTTAATAAATTAAATTTAATCATTGGAGTGTTGTTATATTATTTTTAGATGCAAATGCCCAGCCCATTCACATGGGCACAAGGTGCATTCCAGTAGTCTTCCCAATGCACTACCCTCTAAAGAATATGCATTTGAAGTAAGTACAGTTATTTTTTATTTTTTTAATTTAAATAAATAAACAATATGTATATATAAAATTACGCTATAAGCATCGACATCTTTGAATAAGGGTGTGAAGTATACAAAATAAATATAGGAATCTGTAATTTCTAAAATCCGCAAATTTTAAATGTTTAGATGGCAAGTTCCACCGTGCGTTATGGAAAAGGAGTGACCAGAGAGGTCGGTCAGGATATGGTAAATTTCAAAGCAAAAAAAGTGGCGGTTTTTACTGATCCAAATTTGGCGAGACTGCAACCAGTTCAAACCACTATCGAATCGTTGACCAAAAACGGAGTCGCGTTCGAGTTGTTCGACAAAGTAAGAGTTGAACCAACTGAAGCAAGGTATAATAATGAAAACGACGTTTGCATTTTGTAATTTTATTTCGCTATAGTCTAAAGGAGGCAACCAAGTTTGCTAGATCCCAAAACTTTGATGCTTACATAGCTGTGGGGGGTGGTTCAGTTATTGATACAGCCAAAGCAGCCAATTTGTACGCTTCTGATCCAGATGCCGACTTTTTGGACTATGTTAACGCCCCAATAGGAAAGGGAAAAGTCATTACAGTCCCCCTTAAACCCCTGATAGCCAGTAAGACTTTTTTAATAATGTGGACACAGGTATCATATAAATATTTTTAGTTCCTACAACATCCGGTACTGGTAGTGAAACAACAGGTGTGAGTATTTTTGATTATGAACCTCTTCACGCCAAAACCGGCATCGCTAGTAGAGCCCTCAAACCCACTCTTGGTATAGTGGATCCACTCCATACCCTCTCATTACCTGAAAGGGTTACCGCATACAGCGGTTTCGATGTGTTTTGCCATGCTTTGGAATCTTTCACTGCCATACCTTTCGATGAAAGAACACCATGCCCTCCGAATCCGAACCAAAGACCTGCATATCAAGGCAGAAATCCCATATCCGATGTATGGGCTAGATACGCATTAAACATCATTTCAAAGTACTTTGAAAGAGCTGTTTATAATCAAGACGACATTGAAGCGAGGGCTTCAATGCATCTGGCATCCACAATGGCCGGAGTAGGGTTTGGTAACGCCGGTGTCCATCTGTGTCACGGTCTATCCTACCCCATCTCCGGCAACGTGAGGAAATTCATTCCGAACGACTACAGCAAAGACCATCCAATCATTCCACACGGTCTTTCCGTGGTCATGAGTGGCCCAGCTGTGTTCCAATTCACTTCAACTGCGTGCCCAGAAAGGCATTTGGAAGCCGCTGAATTGCTGGGTACTGATATCAGCAACGCTAAGAAAGCCGATGCTGGGGCAATCCTAGGCGATACTGTAAGGAGGTACATGGATAAAATGAAGATTGAAAACGGTTTGAGCGCTCTCGGTTTTGTTAAGGATGATATTCCTCAGTTGGTTAAAGGAACTCTACCACAAGTAAGTTCTTCATGTTTTCCTTTACTGTATACATTATAATGTCTAATTTTAGAAACGCGTTACTCAATTGGCGCCCCGTGAACAATCAGAGGAGGATTTAGCTTGTTTGTTTGAAAACTCGATGACTGTCTATTAATATCCTTATATGGTGCATTTATCTTATTTTGTTTTAATAAAATTGTTTTTTGAAGTTTGAGTTTATTTTTAATTATCCTGTCCAGACTTTATCCAAAATGATTTTCTTAACAAAAACCAAGACTTAACTTGTGTATTTATTTATTTATCACTTCTACAACTGAAAGTACATTCTAAAAATTAAATAGAAAAGAAAACAAAAAAATAAAAATAAACAATTTATTTGTTTCGAATTAAGTCATTTTTTTAATAAATCAAATTTAGAAACATAAATCAACAAAGGAAACTACATCAGTTAAATTTTACATGTAATATTTAATAAATAAAAATGAGTAATACAACAGAAGTTATATACAAAGATGCGAGTGTTAAAATACAATTTTATAGTAAAAAGTAAGTACACAAATAAGAAAATAATGGTAACTTTGACTACAATAACATGTATTTTTATAACTTGTATTAATAAATATGTTTAGCTTAATTTAAACCCTGTCAAAAAATTATTTAGTCTTGACCTTTATTTTTTCATATGTACAACAGGTGGGAATAATGTTTAAAACGCTTAAACAACTAGAAGATAACTATCCTTAACAGTAGTCTAAAATTGTCTTTAATCTCGATAAATGTAAGTGAAGAATCCAAAATTGACAGGCATACTACAACAACAAAGTCAATACTAAACACTTTTTAGTAGAATTAAAGAAATATTTATTTAACAATTTATGGCATTTAAAAAATGTAATAAAGGGATTTCTATTAATTTGTATAAAGTTAATAAAAAGTATAGTAAAACAATGTCTAATTTCTTAGCTATTTGCTCAACAAATGCTACACCTAACACCAAATTGCTGGACACTGACAAAAGCTTAAATTAAATTGTTTAAATTGTATTGAGCATGCGCTCCTCGTACATCGCCATATTTATAAAGATTAAATAATAATTTGACGGGGCGATATCATTCATATTAACAAAATTATCATGGTGTGGTAAATCTTCATTATTCATCATCACCCATATAATAAAAATCATTTTGTTATATGTTGTATATTAATATTATATTATACATCATCAATGCGCAGGTGTTACTTACACTCTCTGGTTGTATTCTCGAGGCGTACATTAACTTAATTGTGTGGGGGGACAAGTAGGGGTGCGTGAAGCTTGAAAGGGGAAGGGGGGGTGGTTCTCGAAACCATATACACAAAAATAGACTTTTAATACTCGACGACACCTAGTTAATATCTGACAGCATGTGGACGAAACTGATCGGGAACATGCCGGCCCTGTTGGGCTCGTTCTCCACCACGCCCTCCATCCAATTGTCGTCTTCCGTGTGCTCGTTCGTCACGATTATGATCTCGCCCTCTCTGAACGACAGCTCGTCGTCGTTGTCGGCGTTGCAATCGTAGAGCGCCTTGCAACGCCGCGGCCCGCCGCCCGGCCCGCCGTTCGGCGTGTAAGAGAAACGGCCGGAGCGCGGCGAGCACAGCGATCCGGTCGATATCGGACTAGACGAAATCCGATTCGGAGGCGAATCGGACGCCTAAAACGACACGAAAAAGTCAACGCTTGTACCGGCACTACGAAAAGTACAAAAGCACAAGAGAAATTTACCTACCTTGGGTACCAAGTACAAAGTATGTTCTAAAATGTATTGAGAAGTTTAAACGTTATTTTGACCAAGTACAAGTAAAACATACTTAAATACCACAATCAACAATCTAGTTATACATTAGTACCTTGGGGTACCAAGTACCAAAGCTGAGAGTATCTTAAAAAAAAAAGGTACTTGAAAGTATCTAAGATACTTTTTATATTGGACAGAAAGTTACTAAGTTACTTTGGAAAAGTATCTTGTAACTTATATCTAAAAAGGTAAAGTATCTAAGATACATTCAAGTAACTTAGATACTTTAAAGTAACTAAGATACTTTTTAAAGTAACTTCGATACTTTTCAGTGTAACTTAGATACATACTTTCTTAGAGAAATTTGGGGGAATTCCAGAATGATTCACAATTTTATAGTTTTTATTCATACTTAAAAGTAACTTAGTTACTCAAAAGTATCTTAGTTACTCAAAAGTATCTTAGTTACTCAAAAGTATCTTGTAACTAAAGATACTTTTAACTCAAAGTATCTAGTTACCAGAGGTAACTTAGTTAATTTGTTTGAAGTATCTTAGAAAAGTAACTAGATACTTTTCAGAAGTAACTTTCCTAGCTCTGCCAAGTACAAAGTACTTTTGAGTAACTAAGTTACTTTTAAGTATGAATAAAAACTATAAAATTATGAATTATTCTGGAATTCCCCCAATTTTCTCTAAGAAAGTATCTAAGTTACTTTAAAAAGTATCTTGGTTACTTTAAAAAGTATGTTAGTAACTTTAAAGTATCTAAGTTACTTGAATTTATCTTAGTTACTTTACCGAGTAACTTTAATACTTTTTTAGATATAAGTTAAAAGATACTTTTCCAAAGTAACTTAGTAACTTTCTGTCCAATATAAAAAGTATCTTAGATACTTTGGTTATATAAGTTACTTTCAAGTACCTTTTTTTTAAGATATCTTCTAAAATGTATTGAGCAGTTTAATCTTTATTCTGACTAAGAGCCAAATATAATATGAAAAAATACTTGAGTAAATAAAGTACAAGTTATTAAAATGTACTTGAATACCACATATAAACAACAAAATGTCTTGAAAACGTTATTATAATGTATTTTGACTCAACTCGAGTCAAAGTACAAAATAAATGTAGTAATGTAGAAATTTTTCTTAGTTTTTTTCTTTTTGCATAAATTTGTTTTGCTCACCTGTAGGAAATGTTTGATAAATGGACAGAAACATCGATTTTTCTCTTTTACGAGTGAAATTTTTTCTTGAAAATGCGATAACTTGGCCAAAATTGTTTCGATCGTTACGTTTTTTTTTAAATTGTAGTTAAATGTTTACTAAATACAAAAAAAATATACAAAATTAGGTGAATTGATTAAAAAAAAATTCTAAAAAAGGCAAAAAACTGAGGTGAAAAATTTAGACATTTTTTTTTACATCATATTTTTTTCGTTTGAAGATGAAATTATGAACAACTTTCATCAAAACTCGAGTTGATTAAATTCGTCGTTTCGGAATATTATTTTTTAATAAAAAAATGTCACTCGTAGAAAAAATCGATGTTTCTGTCCATTTTTCAAAAATTTTCTACGGGCGAAGAAAACCAATTCAAGCAAAAAGAAAAAATACGGATCGGTAAAGAAACTGTAAAAAAAAAAGTTGAAAAATAACGACCTACCCCTTCTTGCCTGAACTAGATAAAAAACAAACACGGTTTTTGAGTTTACGAATTTATTTTAATTTAAACAATTGTCAAATTAAATTAAAATAAATTCGTGAAACTCAAAAAACAGTGTTTGTTTTTTATCTACTTATACATTGGTTACATGGAGTTTCATCAAGTAACTCTGTTCAAACTGCGTAAGACAAAAATTTGCTGGTACACAAAAGCTGAAACCACATTCGACCAAAATGGTGTGTTGTAATTAATTTAAAAACCAATAAGCAAGCTCAGCATATTAATTTTAGGGTAAAAGGATCCTTCAAAATATCGATTAAGTGATATAATTATATAAAACATTTTGAAGGCCCTCAGCTGAATAACTAACTAAAGTAAAACCTGCACTGTAAAACAAAATTCATATGGATATACAATGAATTAAAATCCATATTAATATTTTGTCAACATTATGCCCACAACAGCATTTTTACCAGACTAGAATTATCATCGTTATGCTGGCCCGTACTACAATCCAAACTCTCCCGTATTTTTCTCTGCAATACATCACACATCGTTTGACATAATCACAATTTAAAAATTGTCGAACAACTGAATACTTACTCTTCTAGGCGGGGGTATCGGATTATGCGCCACGCCGGTCATCTCAATGTCCGAAGTCATCGAAGAAATGCTCTCGTTCGATCTCCCGTTCGACAGGCGCGGGTTCGGCGCCGGCGGCGGCGGGTTCTGCGGCCGCCTCACAAGACCCAATTTGTCCGAATTCTTGCATTCGGACATGACTAGTTTAGTTCCTGAAAAAAGTTCATCTCTATACAGTGGTTTCTCTAATTTTGTGCCTGGACCGCAGAATTGATAGGGAGATGTTTTTATGTTATTTTAAGAGTAATTACGAGAATATTAATATGAAATTTATAAATTGAAAAAAAAGTTTGCGGTTTTCAAATTATTTGGAAAAACTAAAAACCTTCCAAAATCAAAAATCGTTGTAACTTTGTTTTTCTGGGAGTTTCGAAACAAAGTAAGTTTTACTTGTTCATGTAAATTTTTATACAATTTCTTCTTGCTGTGAATTGCCATTACCATCTTTTGTTTTTCTTTAATATGAAAAATATTTACCTGTTTGTATCACAGATCTGCCTGAGCTTGAGTCAGAGCTTGGGGAGCGCTTGTGTGTGTAGTTGAGGGTGTGGTAGCCGGTGGCCATCGGATCCGAAGGGGTTCTGCTGTGGCTGCTCGGTAGAGTTCCGTATATCGAGCCCGTGGGTGGTGGTAGCGGCGCTACGCGTTTTTTGAGGCTACCGTGTACGTTACCAGTGAATGCTGCAACAATAAAAACCAAATGAATGCAACAAATATCGAAATTATCAATGGGATCTTTACTTGTGTAACTTGGCGGCCTGGATCGGTTTTTCTTCTCCGGCGTCAGCGATCCGTTCTGGAAGTTATAAAAAGCATACTATAAATTTGTGAAAATCTCTGACTTATTATTAAAATAGTTACCCTGTCCTCGATGATGGTATCATCGTCGGAAAAATCGGTGGAACCGTCGTCGTGCGAGAGATTCCACTCGATCGTAATGTTATCGAAGAAGTTCTTCAAACGATTCGCCGCATTTTGCAACTAGAAAAAAAACCTCGATAAAATATTTTGCAGGCGAAACTTTAAGTAAAAACGTACCAGCTCCTGACAAGTGTTGTGTCCCAAATCTTGCGCGATATCCATGGGCGTCTTGTTCTGCGAATTCCTCACGTTCGCGTCCGCCCCGCTTCTCAGCAGCAACTTCATGCATTCGACCGCGTCGTAGAGCGCGCACAAATGCAAGGCCGTATTGGAGCCGGAAGAGTCCGACGAGAGCGGCGGCGACGTCGGCTTGTCGATGGAGGAATTCGACATGTTTTGAATCAAGAAGTCGACGATGTGCAGACTGCGGCCCGCCTCGTTGTGCAGGCTGCGTTTGTACTCGTTGATTATGGCCCTGTGTAGGGCCGTCTCGCCGAACTTCTGCAGCAAGAAAGACACGATTTAGAAGGACCTTTTGAACTCTAAAAAGAAATACTTACAGAAAGGGGTAGCGGGGCGCTTAGGTCGACGTTCTCGGCGAAAATCTGCAGCAAGTTGGATAAATCGCCCCGATTGACAGCGTTCTCAAGCTCGTACATCTTCTCCCTGTCCGACTCGCAGGTCCTCAGAACGTATCTCTTGTCGAGATACTTGGCCCTGATGAAGTTCAGGCGCTCCTCCATCGAGCTGGAGGGCGCCAGCTTTTCGTTGGGCGCCAGCTGAGCCTCCATGACCTCGTTGAAGTTGTTGTTGGTCATGAAGCGAGCCAAAACCAGTTGGCTGGTGCCGACGTTGTCGAGCGTTAGAGATTGTATGCGGGATATGTGGACGCCTAGGTCGCGATGTATCCCCGAACACTCGATGCACACTATAATGCCGAAGTTTGTCGACAACCAAGTCGCATCTGAAACATTTCGAAGATTAAACGGACATTATAAACATTCCCCAACGCCAAAGTTGTCCTTTTTTTACCGTTTTGCGAGTTGCAGTCGCAGCAGCGCTCATTGCCCGGTATTTTCTGTATGTATTTTATTATAGCCTGTTGCAGTTCGATGAAGCTGTGATTGACTTTGTCGCCGCCCGTTTTGCTGCTGTCGTCGAAGGCCTTCATGAGAACCATATCTTTACAATTAATTAATACTGACATCCAGGCTCTCTGATCGGCTTCGTCTTCGGCTTGAAAGTGGTACGTTCGGTTATCTGAAATGACAAAAATAAGAACGAATCGTCTTTTTCGTCGTGAAAAATCGTACAGGAAATCAGGTCGAATCCTCGTTTGTCGTCGGGCACAATTTTGATCTGGCAGGTGAGGAGGTTGACGCGCGTCGGCGGTTTCGTCTCGTCGGCGTGGCAGATGTCCAAGTAGCCGTCGGCCTGTACCCGGCATTTGCGCTTCTGCCACACGCGGCGCATCTTTCCCTCGGACTTTTTCAGCAAGTGCCCGGTCTTGGTGACGCCGTGATTTTTGTCGCCTTGCAATTGGTGCAAGGAGTACCCTGCTGCGCCCTTGTCGCTCGAAGGTCCGACCTTAAAAGAAATACATTCCAGTATTTGCTAGAAAGGAATTAAAAAAAAAATAAAAAATAATAAACCAAACAAAAGCACAAAGATAAAAATTGTTAAACAAATATTAGAAATATTCCCCAACACCAAAGTGCTTTGTGTTTTGTTTGGGTGTTGGGGAATATTCCTAATATTTCTTTAACATATCACCATTTCAAATAATATAAATTGTGTTATTGCAGCAAAATCGATAACGAAACGAACGAAGGTTTCAACTAGACTTGAAAAATGAAATTGAATTTACCTCTTTCTCGATACTGGGAGTAATTTTAGTCTTCAAATCGGTCAATTTTCGCTTCTCCTCGTCCTGAGTCTGCCGGATTTTTTGCAATTTAACGCTGAGATCGGCGACATAATTACCGAAATGTTCGATGGTTTTCAATCCATCTTGAAAGTAACTGAAAGAAAGAGAAGTGATTTCGCGAAATCAATCAAAGGAACACTTACTTTGTTTGAGCATGATAATATTCGACTAAGTTTTGGAGCAAGTCTATCCCCTTCTTGGTCTTGATTTCATTGTACTTAATCAAATACTGAAACAAATCGATATCATAGAATGTGGCAACAAAGTGTCAAGTGATAAGTACCTCGCACATCTGCAATTGGAACAGCCGCCTTTCTTTTTCCATTTCGTCTGCAATCTCGCCGGGCGTAATCTCATTACGTATTAGCCCGGCATCTTTGGCCTGTTGTTTCTTTTCCTTCTCGATCTTCGAATACTTGCTCTCGTAATCCTTCCAAGCTTTATCGAAGGGCCGCTTCAAGTCGCCCTTCACGCCCCGCAAGTCGCCTTTCAGCAGATTGTCCAGCGGAAACATCACGATGTTGTTCAGATTCTGCATCAGCGTTTTCATCAGAGCCGACAGCTCGGACGTCACCACGGCGAATTTCTTGAACGCGTTGCCTATCGTGTCCTCTTGCTCCTTGTTTTGCGCATTCTGGCCGATTTTCTCCAACGCCTTGGCCAGGTACGCCTCATTATCCACATGGGCTAAAAAATACAACTACCTCTTAAGACCTAATATGTCAAAATGAATATTCAATGTATTCGTTTTAAAATAGAACACATTACCTAAATTTGTTAAAAATTTGACATCTGTCCACTGTCACCCGAATTTAACCTTACTTTTCCTAATTTATAGTAAAGCTAACTTCAGCCCGTTACTAAAATGCCCAAAAGCCACTATTGATAACTTTAGCCTGTGACTAAAACGCCATGAAGTCAATGTAGGAGTAGATAATAGTAATGTATCAAGTTTTATAAACGCCATTTTAGTTACGAGTTTTATTAGGCACGGGCGAAGTGTTTAATAAAAACGAGTGTCTAAAACGAGTTGCAACTATACTTTCTATCTACAACGAACATAAATAAGAAATTATAGCTAATTTTAATTCATAATTATTTGACATTTGATGAATTTAACCTCACTTTTTCGCAACTTCAGCCCGTGACTAAAACGCTATTAAGTCACAGCTCGTAAATATAGAAGTAGATAACAGTATATTATGTATCAAGTTTTATAAATGCCATTTTAGTTACGAGTTTTATTAAGCACGAGCGAAGCTTGCAAGCAAGTGTTTAATAAAAACGAGTGTCTAGATAAGTTTATAAAACGATTTGCATACTGTACTTTATCTACGACGACCACAAAGAAGAATTTAAATCCAATTTTATTTGTTAAACATTTGACATCTGTCAAATGTCAACGGAATTAACCTCACTTTTCTCTAATTTATAATAAAGCTAACTTCAGCCCGTGACTAAAATGCCCAAAAGCCACTATTGATAACTAGCCCGTGACTAAAACGCCATGAAGTCACAACTAGTCAATGTAGGAGTAGATAATAGTAATGTATCAAGTTTTATAAACGCCATTTTAGTTACGAGTTTTATTAGGCACGGGCGAAGTGTTTAATAAAAACGAGTATCTAAAACGAGTTGCATACTATACTTTCTATCTACGACGAACATAAATAAGAAATTAAAGCCAATTTTAATTCATAATTATTTGACATTTGATGAATTTAACCTCACTTTTTCGCAATTTATAATAAAGCTAACTTCAGCCTGTGACTAAAAGTCACAGCTCGTAAATGTAGGAGTAGATAATAGTATATTATGTATCAAGTTTTATAAATGCCATTTTAGTTACGAGTTTTATTAAGCACGAGTATCTAGATAAGTTTATAAAATGAATTGCATACTATACTTTATCTACGACGACCACAAAGAAGATTTTAAATCCAATTTTATTTGTTAAACATATGACATCTGTCAAATGTCAACGGAATTAACCTCACTTTTCTTTAATTTATAATAAATCTAACTACAGCCCGTGACTAAAATGCCATAAAGTCGCAGCTCGTCAATGAAGGAGTAGATAAAAATATTTAGAAAGCGTGTGGTGTTATTATCTCATGAGATTTTCCAGTTATGTCATTTGGGTGAATCATTCGCTAAAACCGTTTTATTGTATAAAATAAAAACATCCATTTGGGTCGTTATGTGCATATTAATGAGCGAATATAATTAAAAAAAGCATATCTTAGTATTGTCATTAAAAATATTGTATTTTGTTTACATACTTATTACATTACCGATTCTACATACAATACAATAAAAAGTATTTATTTGTATGATAAAAATATTGAGTACATTGACATTAATAACTATAATTAATAACCAGACGCGGGAAAAGTGGCAATTTCCTTTTCAAATCAAAGCTAAACGAAATTGTCGCCAACGAAAACTAACGTTCAAGTCTTCACGGTGTAAAATTTTCCCGCTATCGATCTGCAAGTATTATTCCACCCAACGTGATGGAGTTCAATGAGTTCATACTCCAAACACCACCAGACATGAACAATAAACCCCTAAACCCTTTTTTCAGGCCTGAACCTTTGAAGATAATAACACCACACACATTTTGCACTTTAAAATAATTGCGAACTTACTATTTCCCGATGTGTGTATGGCCTTGATGGCCTTTTTCATTTTGGTCAATCCATCTCGGTCGTAATCTAGTGTCTGAAAGAGAATAAACAAAATAGAATGAAAATAAAATGCTGTGTAATCCAATGTTTCCGTCGAGGGACACGTTTGTTAACATTTTTTTTCTTTAATACCTGAATTGAGCACGTTAAAACTCTTTTCATGTCAAACTAAATTCAACTACTGTTAATAAAAACCCAAGACAATGTTATCGTTCATTAGTAATTGTTAAGAATTGTTTGAAGATAACCATTTAAAAAATTGAGCGAAAATAAAATTAAATCCTGGATTTATTGAACATACAGTAAAACATCATTAAAATCATGCCACTGCAAGCAAAAACAATGTGTATAAATAGATAATAAAGGAATTGTCAAAATAAATCAATATTATTTATACGCGGATTTACGTCATAGGTGTAAATATTTATGATAGAATACAATATCTAATCTGCCAGTATCAGAAATTTTAGTATTTATACTTATAAGTATTTGGCCTGATCGAAAATGCGTTAAAATGGCCCGAGCGTTTTAATATTTAACGCTACGCGCGCGGAATTGCGCTGAGACCTTGTTTTGACTTTAATTAGTTTATATTTAACATTTAACGCTCGGGCAATTTTAATGCATACCGCATTATAGATGGGGTGCCAAATAGGTAAGCGGATGAACTTAAATTCCAAATGCTTGAAATTGATTTTATCGACACATACAAATTTATTATTACTTAATATTTTGAAACATATTCTTTTTATTATACATACATATACATTTTGTTATTTGGATATGAATACCTCATTATCATGTTGTTTATTTTACAAATTAACACAGTAACAACAGTAGCGGGTAATTTATTTAAAACAACATTTCGAATTCCTTTACGATTTCAAATATAAATAGATTTTTTTATTATGGCGGAAATCAATAAAACTCAAGTTGGTGTTGCTCGTAAAAAATACATACTGGATGTTCGTGAAAATGTGAAAGCAGGGTCGAAAAAATGTTTTAGCGCGTTTTTTGTGACATAGAATTCGGTGAAAGTTTTTTTTAATTGCTTTATCCTGTTTTGCAAAAATCATCGTTGACACGTTGCCAGATCGATAACAAAATCGGCGCGACAATACATTTTCGCTGAAGCGTAATAAAACATTAGTCATAATAATAAAATTAAATAAAATTTGCCGGCCCCCACAAGAAAGTTCGTGTATTTTAACCAAACAAGCAAATTGTTTACATAAATTAAAACTCAATGACACGGCAAGCACAATTAAAAGTAGGAACAAATCGTATCACGTAGTAAAAATTAACAAAATAGCAAATTGTAGGCGAAAAAAATGGATTATTTAAACCTACGCAGGATCTTCCAATAAAATTATGCACGATTTAAATCAAGATTAACTTTTTAAATAGTAATCAAAACAAACATAGCTTCCATAAACTTGGTATACCGTTATTTTGCGCTTGACTTATTATGAATAAATAAACCGAAAATTTGTATTGCCCTTGAAATATACCGTAAATTTCAAAGAAACCGGCTACCTAGACGCATCTGTTACGCTATTGTCGTGAAATAATAAAGAACAGTTGATGAGTTTTTGATTTGAAAACATAAGCAGAATTATGCAAGAGACAACATTCGATATTTGTGGGTGGAATCCAAATGTGATCTGCATATTTATTTACTTTAAAATTTTGCCCGGACTACCTGCAAAACTGGACATCTCTATTGAAAAATCAATTTTTACAAAACTGGTATTTTAATAATTGAAACCAAGGAATATCGTTAAAAGTTCCACCTGGCCAGAAAACATAATAAAAACACGACAATGAGTTAACAGTTACACAAAGAAATACCGGCAACAATTGTGTACTGCGTTTTATCAAAGAAACTACGCTTCTTTAAGCTGCACAAAAGAGAAGCAAATTAAAAATAAGGGGTCACTTCGTCCAGCCACACAAAAAACGTTTTAATAACCAATGCGCAGCTGTTTTTATTGCACCGCGCAGATACATTTTAATAATCATTTATTTCAATGTATTTATTTTTATATTCCGACCAGGTATTTTATTGACTTTATGTATGACGTACATAGGTACATGGATTGTTATAGATTCTGGCCACATAGGTATTTTTGAATATAAAAATTGTTTTCGTTTCATTTCCTCTCCAGTGTTTAGTCTAAATTTTTAGTTTAAATTTCACTTTTCACTAATTATATAATGTGAGTAGGTATGAATTGTTATTTATAACAATAACTTTATATTTTCCCAGAACATTATGAAATTTTGTTGGTTTTTTATTTTAAGTTCACCTAATTTTATTGAATTAATTTTTACGGTTTTTTTATCTAAAAATATCAGTTCTAGCAATATTTATAAATTAACAATAATGTTAGATAAAAAAATACAACTTAAAAATTCCCCATGATTTTCACAATTTAACGCAACATTTTCTATATATGTATACAACTGTTGTTAAACAACTGTTTAAACTTGGGAACATAAACAAACAAATTAAGTATTGTTTACACTTAAACATTTTAAATTGTTTTTCCACTTTAATAATGAATTTTTACCCAAACCAACTAATGATTTCTAAAAGAAAAAAATTATTTTTTTTTTCAGGATAATAGGTTTGTTCCTAAAACACTCAGACGCCTGCGCAATGGAACTCTAGTCCTATTGCGCAGACTGTTTTAGTGTTGCAGGAAAAAATCCTTTGACTATTCCCATAAATTGTCTATGGTATTTAAATCTGGACATTGCGGGGCCTTTTACAAACATTGATCTTATTAAAAAAAATAGATAAATTATTATCTTAAACAAATAGCAATACAATTTATCAGAAATAAAAAACAATATTTAAAATGATGTAACAGATTGTTAATGAATGCAGCGTTTTAGATTTGAATTAATTTAATTGCAGGGATTTAAATAGCAGACGAAAGATGTGTAGATATGCAGATGTCCCGGTTAAAACGAATTTGTTAACTTTTATTGTAACATCCTATCTATGGTAAAACTGACACAGGAAATTCCTATAAAATCTTTTACCATAAGCTTTATGCATGAGGGAGTATGTTAAATAGAGGCAGCACAAAAAAATAAAATAGCAGGGAAATTCATTTCATTTGAACAACAAAAGTACTAATGATTTTCGTAAAGTGGGTCACTACCATAGACAGGTTATATCGTTTGAAAAATTATCGCTTCCTTATGGAAGTGTCATATCCTGTGATAGACGAAAAAATAATCCGTTTTATAACGATTTAAAAGTAAGGCGATCTAAAAATACAAGATATGTAAACAGAAAAATTGAACTCTCGCCAAATTCATACATACTGTAAAAATGAAATAGTTTAATTATTCATTTATTGTTATTAAGTACAAAAAATCGAAGGGTTGAACAAAATAAAAGGGAAAGTCTATATTGATTGATAGATAGGTTGAAGAAATTTACCTCTTCCATGGAGGTGATTGTATTTCGACATTGTTGCATCCGAGATACGAAATTGGATGTTATAGGCGAGTTGTAGTCTTCTTTAGTTTCATTAATAAATTCCTCGACTCTTATTGTATTAGAACTGGGCATGATGTATTTTATTTGGAAATACGTCAAAATAGCATCAGTTTACACATAAAAGCTCTCATGAGCCCCGAGTAAAGAAAATCCATTAAACATCATCACTACACTTCAGTTCACAGCACATCACAGCTTAAATTTAACATATAAACCGACCGCACATTTTATTGATATATCGCATTGTTCCTGCAAATTCGGTGATTGTTGTTCTCGATCACTTTATTACATACCAACATTTTTATGCAAAATACACAGAAAAATAAACCTGGTTACTTTCCATTTACCCCCAAGTCAACGCTTTAGGGACATTTCGCTCTGAAATCAACCGCTAAATTCAAAACAACGCGTTGTTCCAGACACCTAATCCCCAATCTAATGATAATATGTTTAAATGTTTGTTAACAAGGTCACAGTTGTCAGTTTGACATACGGGAACGCTCCCTTATGTCAAACTGACAACTTTGACCTTGATTAGAAACATTTAATAATGCCATTTAATTCAAATAAAATCCACTAATATCTTAAAAACAAATAATTTAATAATTGCTTATAAAAGCTAATAATTATTTATTAAACAGCATACAAACCAAAAATCATTAAAGTTGCAAAAGTTGTTCCTGTCAATATTGGGTCATGTGAAAAATGTCTAATGTTGTTCAAGGTGGGGTTTTTGCGTGTTTTCCCGTAATTTTTTAAACTAAACCCAAGTATTTTAGGTACAGGCAAAATATGGTGCAGATTATTTGACCATAAAGCATTTATCGGTGGCGAAATAACGTTTACGTTGCAAGAATTTGAGGTAGCGATTTTTTGAGGTTATGTTTTTGTTTTCTTGTCGACGTATTTTGTGGATTTTTAGGAAAAGCGTGGGGAAACTGAAGTGGACAGTCTTTTTAATATCATAGAACATATCGCGGATATAAAAGATTCCCAAATCGATAGAGTTAAAGAAGCAATTAATGACACATTACCATTGTCGTTGAAAGATTTGGACGAGGCCCTCAATTATTGTTCAAAATTTAGTGAATTGGAGGAATATTATAAAGAAGTAAGTTTTCTATAATACCTGTTCTAAGCTTTTGTTCAAACATTCCAATATTGTCATCTTCACTTATAAATCACTCACATTTTTTTACAATATAATTTTTTTGAGACACAATGTCATGTGATGTTTTTGCATGTATGTCTATTTTTACCTGTACTGGGATAATATTGGCAAAAATAAAATCAACACCCACCTTATAAATGTAAATATGTTAATTTATTGCAGTAAATATTTTTTATTTATTCATTTATTACCTTATTTATTTTCTCATATTAATTTGTAATAAATAGAGCAATATATTTTAATAATCCACTTGAATGTAGGCAACCCAGTTTACACATTGTGTTTTAAAGGTTTCTGTAATTTTAGGATAACACTTTGGAAGCAAACAAGTTACAGAGAAAGCAAGATTTAAATAATTTCACGGACAATATTACAGCTAAATATACAGAAATAAACACCAATTTTGAAAACAAGGAAGTAGAGTTGCAAAAAGTATATCAGGATTTGGAAAATAAACTACAATTAAAATGACTACAAATATAGGCCAAATATCAAACCCCTCAATTCTTATAAAACCCTCAAAGAAACTAAAAGACTACCTATCGAAAATTAAATCTCCTGATGCACCAAAAGGGCTTAAACAATTCACCTTCAAAAACCAAACAAAAGAAGAACCCATTAAACCAACCAAAATAAAACATTTTATCACCGATGAAGATCTAAACTTCATAGAAAACCTAAATCTAAACTCCAAAGCCGAATCAGTCGCCCTGAAGCCTTCAACAAACACATCAACGGAAGAAAACGAGAAACTTTTAACCCTGCAAGATTTGTACTGGTTGCACGATTATCTACAAAAACAAAACAAAGAAAATAAGGTTTATTTACACGAACTATTCGGGGATTCCGAAATTATTCTGCCCAAAAACGTCGAAATACCTCGCAGCGAAGAACTGGAGAGGAGATGCCAACGACTTAAAGCTGCCCAACAGAATCGGGACTACACCAATATGACCAAAAATGTCGACAATAGAAGAAAGGAGTTGCCTGAGGACACCATTTCATATCAATGTAAGAATCATGAGTTAACCATATTTGATTTTTTCTGAGGAAAAATCAAGTGGGGTTCAACTGTTAAATATTTGAATCTATTTTCGTATTTTCAGTGAAGCAAATGAATCGACACCTGATAGCAATAGCTCAATTTATTTTTTCCGTATTGGCTGGCTTTGCATTTGGGTTCATTGGTGTTGAATTGCTGATAGGAAATTTGGACTTTGGTTTTCGTCTATTATTGGGAATAATATGCTCCCTAGTTATAGCTCTAGCAGAGCTATACTTTTTGGCTAAAAAACTAAATGAGGATTTGAATTTTGAAGAGCAGGCCAGAAAACCAAAGGATCAGAAAATTGATTGATTGTTTTCTTATATTTGTTATGCTTGTTCCTATTAAATTTTCATTGGAAAGTGAAATGGTTGTTTCATTTCTTGCCTATATCAAAATAAATCTTTATATAAAAACAATAAACCAATCAAATCACTGCATTCTTTGTCGCAATCTAGTGTGCTGTGAAAAAAGCCGTACTCTGATTGGTTGATCAATTAAAGTTGGTTGCACATTCGCAATAGGTTAAGAAAAAACAACTTGACAAGTAAGTCATGAAGCAAAACACTTTTCTCATTTATTTCATGGGTTTTTAATGGAAAATTCACTGTAAAAACACACAAGGTTAGTTTTTATTATGTTTCAAGTTATAAATAATTGTTTAAAATAAATTTTGTTACGTTTTTAACGCTGTGTTGTCATAAATTTAAGTTTGTACTTACAAATACGACAAACTGTTTATATTCTTATTTTAAATAATTTTGACTGTATTAAATTCAGTGTTACTAAAACAAATTCATCCAATAAGCTCTCGTCATCGTACAATATGTTAAAATAAGTTAAATAGTCTGTTTTAATGTGAGTTAGGGGAAAAATAGTTTAAAGATTGGCAAACATGAAATTTTAAATAAAACGATATAAATCAAGTGGTACCGGTACTTGCGCATTGGTTAGAGAAAAATCACGCGCGCCAATCAGAATGCAAGTTGCCGGACCTCTCGATTTTCTTTAAAAAAGCTGCCATTGTTGCACAAGATACAAAAAAGCATTTCTATGCGTAATGTTATTGAAAATTTTCTGCTGTAAACGATGAAGAGCTGTTTTAAGACGAAAAGGTAGGATTTTTATTGTGTTTTTATTAAGAGTATAGTTTATAACTTGTTTTTTTGGCAAAACACCAATTTGCTGTCACGGTGTTATGTTTTTGACAACTTTTGACGTCATTTCTAGCATATTTTCATTTAGTTAAGGTTATATTCGGTCAAATTGAAGAATATTAAAACATTTTGAACTGTTTTTAAACAGTTTGAACGCGTATTACAGCATTCTTGAATAACATTTCGTTTTAGTTGTCGCTTTCGGCCATAGATGGCTTTTATTATACGAGGTTGTGCGAAAGTGAGAATTTAAACGAGATAAGAAAGATTTTTTCTTGGAATTTACATTATTATATGTAAAACACAAAGAATGTGTGATGATATATTTGTATATGCCTTTAAAAGTAATAAAGTCAATAAATATTCTACTGATTAATATATTAATGATGGTTAATTATTTTATAAAACATGAATTATTGTATTATCATTTTTACGATAATGAGTCATTTTTCCTTTAGATAGAAGACAGTAAAAAATTGTATCAAACATGACGCAAATTTATTTATTTGCAATTAAAAATTAATAAGAGGAAACATTTTAAGATTTAAATCTGCATATTTCAAGTATTTTGAAATATCCTTCTGCGTACTGTCATTAACAACAATGGAATTTAAATTTTTTCATTAACTTCGAATATTGCACAAGCTTTCTGTCATTATGTTATGTATGTAAGTATATTTAAACTTCATAACTCCATATCATTAAATTTACGTTAAGAACTGTAAAATTAGCCCACATCACATTTAATTAAATAAAGTGGATTAAAATAAGCTGTTTCTAATGCAATATAAACTTCACTTTGTCGAATAAGAGAACAATGGCCAAGAAGTACAGTCATAAAATATGGTTTGAGATTTTTGTTCATATACCTACATGTATTAAATGAAAATGTTTATTATTGACACGAGAGTGAGTCATGATGATTTATTCGAAAAGTTTTTGAGCCCCTTTTGTGCCGTTGGCCACTTGACTGGCATCCATTCGATTTTCAAGTGCTTAATTTCTAAATTAATTAAAGCGCAATTCAATTAAAACAAATAATGGAAAACAAATATATGTAATTTCGCCTGAATGTAGGTTTACCTACATATATGTAATTTTATATACATATATGTATATAAAATTGGGCATTGTTAAAGTATTGATTTATTTAATTGCCATTTCCAAATATATTAAAACGTTTGTATTATGGTTTATTAACTTAATCGAGCACATAGCTCAGAACTAAAGTGACGTCATACTAAATCCAATATGGCGGCCGCCCCAAGATGGCTTCACTATTCGACATGGGTGTCAAATGAAAGGGATTCTCGAGCAGAATACGTGACGTCAATCTAATTTCAATATGGCGGATGTACTGTAACTAAATTTTAGGACTAAACAGCAGAAAATAATTACTTAAACGTTTTTATATTATTAATAACGTTTTGGTTGAAATTTTGTTTTGAAATAATATTTCTATATTAAGAATATTATGTGGCAAATATTTAAGGATAAGTCAATAACGAAGCGTAGGTGATATAGTTGGGCAATTAAGTTTCACTCCACAACATAAATAATACAATTCAAAGTTTGTTCGTTATTTACCTAATTTAAATTAAGATTTTTTTATTTCTGTTCTGTTGAAAATTATTTTATTAAATATAGAGGTGTTCCCAAGATTGTAAACTGATAACTAACTATATACGCTTTAAATTTACCATGCAGCCAGTAGTAGTAGCAGATCAGGTAAAGATTACAGATGAATAGGCTTGGTCCCTTTATTGGTTAAAATAGTTAAAATCTGATAGACCGTTCTACAATCGGCCTTATGTAGGTATACCTGAAAAATCTAATTTGGTCAATGATTAAACACACGTAGTATTTTTGAATAAAATCGAATTTGATGTTTTTTGTTGGAAAAATGAATGCAATTTGTTAATGTTAGTGGTCATTTGTCAGGATGCGTTTAAGTGGAAGGTCAAGTTACCAATTAACTCGACAGATATCCGGTATTTTCGATTTTCGTATTTTGAACAGTTTCGACGACATTCGAAGTCTATTATTTCAAATTGGGAACTTGTCACCGCAAAAAAATTTACTGTAATTGCTTCATTAAAAGTTAATAAAGATTTAATATTAATAATAAACAGTTATATAATGAATATCGCTTATACTTACTTGTACCTAACAGTATTCAATATCTTAATGATCGGGTTAGATTTTGTTTTATAGAACAATTAAATAAACAGATAAAATTCAAGTCAAGTACATATTGTTGTTAACTGATAATAAAACTTTATGGTGTCGAGGAAAAATAAAAAAATATAAAGTGATGTAATAAACGTTTATTATCAAATGAGGTTTCAAAAACCATAAAATAAACAAAACTGAAAAAATGCAAAATAAAAGTCTCGTTTTTAAAGCCTTTGTTTGTGTCCAGACGTTTCGAGTAATAAATTTCAAAACAAATCTGGCCGAACCACTATTTTGAAACGCACATTTACAATCAAAATGCATTAAGTTCGTATCTACTCGAAAAAAGTTATATATATGTATATATATTTCGACTACCTAACTGTAATGTTTTATCGGCCTTTTCGGTATAAATGTTGTTTTATGGAAATACATAGTTGTTACTAAGTCCTTAAAAATGCAATTCGATGCTACCGGAAATGATAGATAAAAACCGCATTAGCATTTAAAAAGAAACACCATATTTCAGATTTTTATTGTAGCCATTCTCTCCTTAACTTCTCAATAATCTTAAATTAAACTCATGAACCAGTCTGCTTCTTCTAAATGCTTTACTATTTATACAATGAACAGTCGTTCGTAAATTTTCTTATTCATTAAGTTACGATTGCTGTACGTTAAATTGATGAATAATGAGCATGGATCTATCTTAGATAGTATCTTTTCATTGATTTATGATCCCTGGTTATTAATACTACGAACAAAAAGACATTAGTTTAAACTTTAAACTTTAATTTACATAAAATCCAAGAGGAACCCAATTAAAATTATTTGCCAAATTTACTTACCTTTTTATTTAAAATAAAGGTTTACTGGGTACCTGGGTAGATTTTGTTTTAGGAACATAGACATAGGAAAAAATATCTTATACAAATTACCAAGCAATCAATCACGAGGTTTATTTAAAATAAAGACGTTTTTGGTAAATACATTTTTTTTATTGCAACCTTTGGGCTCTCATGAGGTTTACAAAATGCTTTTTCTAAATAGTTACAAAACATTATGCTTTCCTGTAAAAAGTGAAGATTAAATATATATATATAATTTTAAAACATATATCGACCGTTTTAATTACATGAAATTATATGTAGTGTATATTTTAAAAACTAAAAACTCATTCACTAAAAAAAATATCCAAAAAAGTAAAAACTTCACAAGCTCACACACCTCGGTTTAGTCAATGTCCACTCCGTATAATAGGCACAAAACTTAAAAATTAATCCAAAAATAGGTAAAAAGTTTAAAATAACTTCACAAGCTTATACACCTTGGCTTCGCCAATGTTCGCTCCTTATATTTATCACAATTTCACTAATAAAGCTTTAGGGTTAAACGCGGAACTAACCTTCTAACGCTATAAGACTGACTGAAGATAACAATTGCATGTAAAAATTCGCCACCCAAAAGTGGTGCGATGACCAGAAGTCTACGACAACGATTCGTAAGAATAATGTTTATGTTGATTGATTCATCGTAGGGCAGCATTAATTTTGGCGCGTTTTTAGAATTGAATGGTTAAGTTTGTAAAATCAATGGATCAATGACGAAAAATTTATTGTTTTAAAGATTAATGATCGTCAATAGTTATTTCAATAAATTTTTACATTATATTAATGAACGAAATAATTAATTTTTATGTTTTAATGTTTTTTTTTCAACACGTGTAAAACATTTTAAATATTAAAACTAATCAGCATGAATAGCAGTCTTTTTTGTAAAAAAATCCATTGTGAATTTTAATTGTTCAATAATGACAATATATTTTGCGACAAAAATTTTAATTGTTCAATACTATTTTGCGATAAAAATTTCAAAATAATAATTCATGGGACAACAAATTGGTTTAATTTAGAATAAATTTATTTATATAGAATTTATATATTAGGCAACTACCATAAAAAATTTAATACCTGCAAAAAT